TCCTTTGTATGTTATGTAGCGTGTGTCTGCTGTTGGCCGGAGCGTCCTATTGTAGGCTGTCGTTTGAACATTGTAAGCTGTCGCTGTCTATTGTTCGCTGTCGCTTCACTGTGTAGGCTCTCATGTCTTTTTGTAGTCTGTCGGGTCAGACTGTACGTTGTAGTGTTCCGTTCTAGATTGTCACATTCCATTGTAGGATGTGGCGTCCCACTGTAGGATGTGTCATTCCACTATAGGATGTGGCGTCCCACTGTAGATTGTCACATTCCATTGTAGGATGTGGCGTCCCTCTGTCAGTAAACTCTTGGGGGTTCACACCAAGCCAATGTTGTGGCGACAAACACAGTCTGAGGCGGGAAGTTGTGTGTCTTTTAAGAGGCACGCACTTACCACTGTTTTCTAATATCACGTTCATTTTTCCACTATAATCTACCTTGTCCATAATTATCATCACATTTGCTTTGTCTGTTTCGTAAGGTGAAGTCCAGGATCTGTACTTAATTCATGGTATAACTTAACAAATATTTGATGACAATTGTGTTGTAGAGGTGTGAACTTTGCTCACACCTCTACAACACAATTAGTTAGATTAGATTAGCATTGTAGAGGTGTGAGCAAAGTTCACACCTCTACAACACAGTTGTCATCAAATATTTGTTAAGTTATACCATGACTTAAGTCAAGATCTTAACGTCGGGAATATCCATAAGTTAAAGGCAGGATCCCACCTCACGAGATGTGAAAAGGAAGAAGCAGGAGGAATCATGGCAGAAATCTAATGAACACTTTTGTGACGCGTGAAATCGTAAATACACGATTGCAAACGAATCACAGGGCAGATGGGGTTCGATCCCATGGCAGGCGAAGCCTGAAATCAGAGGTCTGTGCGCTAACCGCTGGTTAGCATACTGGTCTCTTCAGTTTCAAGGTTCACCTGTCTTGGCTTCGACCCCCGCACGTTGTCAGTGAATTGACAAACACTCACTTGTTAAATGAATAAAAAAAGGATATGGAAACTTTGCGTTTAGATCTCTGAAGATGATCTCAAAGAGAGAGATCGAAATACACCCTCTTGTTTACAATGTTTCTATCGGCAAGTGAGTTTGTTTCACTCCATTCGAGAATGTCATAAATCTGAAATAAGACATGGGTGCCTAGGTGCTAACAAAACTGCTGCGATGTCTCAAGAAACATCATGATGAATGTGTTAGGGTAATATATTGACTGTTGAACTAGCCTTGTCAAGTGTCACACTCTATCTACATAGCCACATAATGTGCTCGCTTGAAATTTCGTAAATGAAAATGGTTTAGTGGTACGTTTATGGGGATCAACCTCTCTCCCGTTCCTTCCAGGTACCACCGTTACTCTGCTCCTTCTGAACATAGTAACGCTTGTGTTGGGATATGTAGGAGAGAGGGGATTATTCTCCAGTAAAAGTAGGTCTTTGACAGTGATGTGTGATGCCACAATGGTTGTTTAACATATTTACGGATGGGGTTTTAAGAGAGGTGAACGCTAGGGTATTGGAAGAGGTGTGGGATTAAAAGATAGTGAATATAATACACAATGGAAGCTGTCACAGTTGTTTTTTGCCGATAACGCGGTTCTTTTGAGAGATTCTGAGTGTATGTTGCAGAGGTTGGCGGAGGAATTTGGGAAGGTATGTGGAAGAAGGAAATTAAAAGTGAACATAGGAAAAAGCAAGGTGATGAGAGTAACAAAATACCTAAGTAATGAAAGATTGAATATTAGATGGAGGGAGTGGAGGTGTTTAGATGTTTGTGAGTGGACTTGTCAGTGGATGGGCCTATGAAAGATGAGGTGAACCATTGAACTGAGGAAAGGAAAAAAAGTTGGTGGTATGTAGAGGCATCTGTGCAGAGAAAAGAACCTTATCCAGGAGGCAAAAAAATTATATACCATGGTACAGTGGTACCAACACTTGCATGGGTGTGAAACGGGTTTTAAACATGGGAAAAAGGAGGAGGCTGGAGGCAGTGGAGTTGTCGTGTTTGAGGACAGTTTATGGTGTGGATATTATGCAGAGAATTCAGAGCTTGGAGATTAGAAGGTGTGGGGTTACTAAATGTATTATTCAGAAAGCAGAGGAGGGGGTTGTTCAGGTGATTTGGATGTTTAGATAGGCTGGAGCAAAATAAGATGACTAGGAGGGTATAAAATCTGGGGATGAAGGAAGGAGGGGTTGGGGGCCATCCCAGTAAAGGTAGGAGGGAGGAAGCAAGAGAGGTTTTAAGTTCTATGGGCTTGGATATCCAACAGGCTTGTGTGAGCGTGTTAAATAATGAGGAGGCAAATGATTTTTATGATTTAACGTGCTGTTGGAGTGTGAGCAAGGTAATATTATTAAGGGATTCAGGGAAACCGGTTACATAGACTTGAGTCCTGGAAGTGGTAAGTACAGCGCCTGCACACTGTAACCTCGGTACGTTTCTTGCAATACAGTGATTGAATGAATAACCGTGAACGTGTTTCTTCCTTTTCGGGTCACTTTACCTCGGTGGGAGAGAACCGGTGTGTTAATAATAATAATAATAATAATAATAATAATAATATAATAATAATAATAATAATCTTTCATTGTGTAATTGACTTGAAAGTTTTATATAATCCAAGAGCGTGTGTAGTAGTGACCTTTGGAAAAGGTCAGCTTGAATGTCGTGTTCTGCTCCCTCCGTAACCCTTCTGCAAATCTCACCAAATTGTTCTTATTACCTATTTACTGCTTGTTCTAATAATAATAATAATAATAATGATAATAATAATAATAATAATAATGTTGATTTAAGGGCTATGATGGCTTGTGCTTTGAGTTTTATAAGCCCTGATTCCAGATTATTATGACGGGGAAAGGCCCTTTAAGGTGGGTACTGGACTTCTGCGCTGACCTTGGTGGAGTGTGGACGTCCCGCTCTACCCCAGCCTTAATCATCAGTGGCGAATTTTCCTTATCTCCCTCTGGGACGTTTGTCACCATCATCAGTTCTCTTGTCAATTAGTCTTGGCGCCATATATCAGCTATTTTTATGTCTAGAGAAAACTGGTTGTTGTTGACTCAGGTGTTGTTGGTGGGGGTTGGACAAGGGGAGAATCCACTTGTTCTGGAACTGGGCAAGGACCGCAATGGAAATAAGTCACTTTGACTTTTTGGGGGAGTTATCCTAGGTAATCAATACATATTCTGTTATGCATGATAATTTATGTAACTGTATTAATATTTGTTCCCGAATAAACTTGCATATTTTTCCCAGCCTCCCGGGAAGTAGGGTTCAATAAGGCGTAAGTAACATCAGTGTGAGAGCCTTGGTGGGACTTACACCAGCTTTGGTGGTGTGTGTGTGGACGTCTCGCTCTCGTCTGAGTATAAGTGAAAAATTGTCTCCACTCTCTCTTTGACGCTTGTCCTCATCTTATTCTGCCCGCTGGGCACATTACAGGAGGGGCACTCTTCATTAGCTCAGTTTTTCTACCCTGCGGATATTAATGTTTTAGTGGGAAGCAGGCTAGTGAATCACGGGACAGGTTGGGATTGAACTCGCGGCAAGTGAGTCGTAAAACTCTAGGTCAGCGTGTAAGCCAATGGGCCAGCTCTGCATACACTTCTGACACTGCGTACACAACTGGCTCTTGGTACACAGCTGGCTCTTGGTACACAGCTGGCTCTGGCTTTGCTCTCCCAGGGTTGATTTCTAGCAAAAATTATCGTTATATATGTATTTTTGTCATTATCACAAATTATTAACAGAGACTTGACTCCAGTATTGTGACCAGCAGGCCGCCAGCAACAACAGCCTGGTTGACCAGGCAAGCACCAGACAAGCCTGGCCCAAGTCAGGGCTGCATTAGGAAAATTCTTGCAACCCATCAGATTCATAGGTTCATCTTATCACAGTCTCTTCAGTTCTTCCAGAGACACCTGAGGCTGTCATCTCGTGTGTATATTTCTTAGCAGTTTAATAACCCAGTGTTGCTCGAGTACCGCTTCATTTGTTGATGGATGAGTTTTTAACGTGTTCTTGTGATTTTTAAAGTCGTTCTCCCTTACACCCACCTTGTCAGGAAGCAAGTGTGGAGGATTCACACCCCTGCTACTGCCTTATCAGGAGGCAGGTGTGGGGGACTCACACCCTCACAACTATCTTGTTGAGAGGCAGGTGTAGGGGATTTACACCCCCACAACTGCCTTGACAGAAGGCGGGTGTGAGAAATGTACACTTTCACACACATCCCTTGTCAGGAGGTATTTTATAAAGAGGTGGAGAGTGTCCATCATTGCTGTTTGTCTATTAAATCTGAATGATTTTGATTGTAACAGTAATGAATAATGCTTGATTTAATGGACTTTGTCCATTAAATCCTAAATCAGTTAACCCAGCCGACCATAACAGTAGCAGACAAATCTGAATTTAATGGGCTTTCTCATTTTTTGGATGTCGTCCGGTCACTGATTTTGCTGTTAAAATCTAATTTGAGGTTTTGCTGGTTTTTAAGACATAGAATTAATTTCAGTTGGGCTGAATATTTGTATTAAAACTGGTCAGGTTATATTTTATAAATATTTTTTGAAATCAGTATAATAAAGTCTTTAAAAATGTGTCCTCACTTGTTTGTGGTTGCCGGAGTTGAGTCACAGCTCCTAGCAAAAATATAAAAATGTTCCCTCTACCCAGAAGTTTTGCAAATAAAATGGAAACGATATATAACGTAAAACCTGTTCCTTTGTATGAGGAAGCCCTTGACGGTTTGATTGCTATGGCTTTTATGGGAGACTGAGTTGTGGAAACCCAACTAACCAACCCACCAACTAACCAACCAGTTAAAGGCTCTTGATGCAAGAAATTAAATGCTCCAGTTCCTAGCATCAAACCTAATTGCCTCCCATTCCCCAAGCCATTATGTGACCCTTATGCCCTACGTGTTTACTGGTTTCCCCTGTACAGGGATGTGTATTGTTGAGTAATGTATTTCATCTGTGACAGGCACCTGGGTCGCAATCCATTCGTGTGTGACTGCAATATCCAGTGGCTGTCGGACTACCTGGAGGTGCATCCCATTGAGACCTCAGGTGCCCGCTGTGAGAACCCTCGCTGGCTTCAACGAAGGAAACTCAACGCTCTTAGGGATGAGCGACTGAAGTGTATGTTGCTCTGGTGTACTGAAACAACAAATATTTTATAAGGAATATACTGACTCACGAAATCGTAATGACACGATTGCAAACAAACCATACCACGGGCGGGATTGAACCCGCGGTCAGAGAGTCTCAAAACTCCAGTGGCTAACTCGACGGTCTGGAGTTTTGAGACTCTCTGACCGCGGGTTCAATCCCGCCCGTGGTATGGTTAAGGAATATACTGTATGTTCCAATACTGTGGCTGGAACAATTCACACTTAACCCACACTTTAAATTTCTTATTTTTATAAAAAAAACTCTAAACCTGTATGGTTATTGTAAATGATGATAGTCCTGGATAAAATGAAAAGCTTTTTATTTTTTCATTTCTAATACAGTGTGTGGATTAGCTGTGAAAATTAGTATAAATTATGTGAAGATATATATCTTCTGTTTTTTCTTTTTAGTTTTGAAGCATATAATAGATACAGTATCTTGAAATATGTGATATTAACTAATAATTTTAGCTTTGATGTTTCCTGAGTGTATATAGTTATATACACTGAAAGTTTACTTAATTGCTGTTTAAAGGTCCTTGACTGGTGGTGTACCGGTGACAAGCAGGCTTAATAATATGTAGTTGATAAGCTTCAAGCCTAATAAAGTGGGTAACCTTTGTGTGTGGTTTGCAGGTACAGACGGGACAGTGTCACTGTACGCTGGTGAGTGCGTGACAGCAGAAGAGTGTCCCCGAGGATGTACCTGTCGTGGTACCACCGTAGACTGCACCGCTGGTGGCCTCATCCACCTCCCAGACACCCTACCTCCCTACACCACTGACTTGTTAGTGATCTATGTTCTTTACTTCTACACCTGTAGATTGTCTACACCTCAGTCCCTCTTTATGGGGGTTGCCATGATGCTGGTGAAGGGCTCTTGATCCAAAGAAATGGAGCTACCCTCCTCTTCCTCTGAAAAATCATAAATACTTCCCATTACCCAGCTTCTATTTAACTCGGTGTGAGTTTAGCACTTCCCCTCGATATATTAGTAATAATAATAATACATTCAGTAAGATTGTGAGGGTTAGATACATGAGTGGGAATGGTTCAGTGGGAGAAGGACCTGCCAAGCATGGGCCAGTAGACCTACTGCAGTGCATCTTTCTCTGATCTTCCATGTAGGCTGCTGTCTGACAATGAGATCAGGGAGGTGGGTGGTTCAGGAGTGCTGCGGCAGTTGTCTCGCCTGCGTCGCCTGGTGCTCTCCAATAATCACCTACGACATATCACCAGGGGATCATTCCAGGGCATTCAGTCTCTCCATGAATTGTGAGTACATAACTCGAAGTCTTTTATGTATATATTATCAGCTCAATAGTAAGGGGTTAGTAACCCTTTCTCCTGGGTAAATTACTTAGTGTAAAAATAAAAACTTTATAGTATGTATTTCTTTGGTTTTGGGTCACCAAGACTCGGTGGGAGACAGCTGGTGTTTTAAAAAAATTATCTGTTAATGGTTCTGAGGATATATATTCCTCTTATACATTATATGTTAATGGTTCTGAGGGATTATCTTCCTCTTATACATTACCTGTTAATGGATCTGAGGGATTATCTTCCTCTTATAACATTACCTGTTAATGGTTCTGAGGGATTATCTTCCTCTTATACATTACCTGTTAATGGTTCTGAGGGATTATCTTCCTCTTATACATTACCTGTTAATGGTTCTGAGGGATTATCTTCCTCTTATACATTACTGTTAATGGATCTGAGGGATTATCTTCCTCTTATACATTACCTGTTAATGGATCTGAGGGATTATCTTCCTCTTATAATTACTGTTAATGGATCTGAGGGATTATCTTCCTCTTATACATTACCTGTTAATGGTTCTGAGGGATTATCTTCCTCTTATACATTACCTGTTAATGGTTCTGAGGGATTATCTTCCTCTTATACATTACCTGTTAATGGATCTGAGGGATTATCTTCCTCTTATACATTACCTGTTAATGGATCTGAGGGATTATCTTCCTCTTATACATTACCTGTTAATGGATCTGTAGGGATTATCTTCCTCTTATACATTACCTGTTAATGGATCTGAGGGATTATCTTCTTCCTCTTATACATTACCTGTTAATGGATCTGAGGGATTATCTTCCTCTTATACATTACCTGTTAATGGATCTGAGGGATTATCTTCCTCTTATACATTACCTGTTAATGGATCTGAGGGATTATCTTCCTCTTATACATTACCTGTTAATGGATCTGAGGGATTATCTTCCTCTTATACATTACCTGTTAATGGATCTGAGGGATTATCTTCCTCTTATACATTACCTGTTAATGGATCTGAGGGATTATCTTCCTCTTATACATTACCTGTTAATGGATCTGAGGGATTATCTTCCTCTTATACATTACCTGTTAATGGATCTGAGGGATTATTTTCCTCTTATACATTACCTGTTAATGGTTCTGAGGAATTATCTTCATCTTGGCTCAGTCTCATCTGAATTGGAAAGGAAATTTTGCAAGAATAAAAACTATTAAGAAACACAGAAATAAAGGAAGCTTGTATTAAGAATGTAATTATAAGTTTTGAAGGTTTATGTTCCAGGACTCCAGATTTCTTGCTCAGAAGCAGCAGTTTCATCTCTTGCAAAGTTTTCATTAGTGCTTTTGTACTTAGATCCATCTAAGACATTAATTTTTTTAATCCACAGTTTAGGTTCTTCATAAAGCTTCTTTTTATTTTCTCTCACTTCTGTTACTTGGCACTCATTTATATTCATTTCCATCAGTTGTTAACCATTTCCTCAATCTGAGTTTTATAGTGATTTATAGTGAGTCGTGTTATATTTTTAACAGTTAATTTTTTACAGTATCCACAGCCGTGGTCATATAGTTTTGTATTCCATCTGGGAAGTCATTTATATTAGTAAATTTTACAGAACTCGGACACTTTCAGTGCCAGTAATGATTCTGGTGGGACTTACTGCTGACATTTTCCAGGTCATTCTCTCTCTTATCACTGTTTACATATTTCTTTCAAAGTAAATTTCTCATTGACTAAATTTCTTCTACACGTGTCCCACCCCATATTTTTTCATCTAAAATTATTAATACAATTTATTTCCAGCCTATCACTCGGTATTAATATTTCTGTTTAAATAAAACGTACCGAGTTTTTTCACCTAAAATGGTCATTACATTTAATAGTCTTCAATTTAATTATTTTAGATTTACCACAAAATCTAACTTTAATTATAGTGTTATACATAATTGTATTTGACAAGAACATCAAGTACTTGTAGTCTGGCCAAAATTTTTCGTAAAACCAGAGATTTTTCAAAATTTATGAAGTAGATGTTGCTGAATTTGTAACATTTTTTAAATGTATTTTTTTTTTATTTCTTTGTTTTTTATTTCTCTGATGTTTCATAGTTTTTTTTATTAATTTTTCATGGGAAACTGCAACACAAGTTTTTTAAAATGTAAATCAGTGCATTCTGCCCATCTGTTTTCCTCTTGAAAAGTTTTGACAATCGTAGTACTTATGGGATTGGATATATTGTACTATAATGTACCAAAAATTATTTTATTTACAGACAACACGTACACTATATATCTTGTATGTATCTACAACAATTGTATATGTAAAATATATATGCATAATGTTTGTAGTATTGTACCGATTATTGTACTGCCACAGTAGCAAAGTAAGATTATTTTTTTAACACATTGTCTGTCTCCCACTAAGGCTGGGTGGCTCAAACGAGAAACACTTTTACCATCATTCACACTATCACTGCCTTGCCAGAGGTGCAAGATAATGACAGTTCAGATGTCCCTCCAAACAGTAAATATCCCAAACTCTCTTTTAGAGTGCAGGCATTGTACCTCTAGGAAATTTTATGACAGTTTTTCCAAGGGGTTTTGTTTTATTAAAAATATTTGAAAAAACTGTGTGCATTGCTAGATTTGTAGGATGAAAGAAAGAGGGATAATACCCTCAGTCATCCTAATGTATCAAAACACATACACACTATTGTACTTTACAGCTGACACTGCATTAAAATTAATATTCAGTAGTGATGTTTTTTTGTTTCAGAGACTTGTCAGATAACGATCTATCAGAAGTCAACAGTCATATGTTTGATGGACTTCCAGAGTTGAGGGCGCTGTAAATACCATCTTTCATGGTTCTTGAATTATATTGTTTATATTGGCTTTATTATCAGTGAAATATTATTTTATAATTTTGCTATTAATTATCTAAATTTTTTAGTTCTATTCAGTTGTGATAAAACTTTTCTTACAGCTCACTGGCAGACAATAAGGTGACCTGCATCTCACCAGGAGCATTCAGCCAACTCCTGCTCTTGCAGAAATGTGAGTAGCTTTTATTAATCAACTTCAGTGGTCAATTGGTCAGTTCTCTTATTTAAAGTGTTCTATATGTATTTTTTGGAGCTAAACATTACTAGTTACTAATGGTTAAAATTTGTGTTTAAGGATTTTAATTCTACATTTTATGTGGAAATTTCATGTATGTTTATTATTGAAGTTTATTTTTTATGCCAGAAACCTTGAGGGTAACCCTCTTCGATGTAACTGTCACATGGGCTGGCTGGCAGAGTGGCTGCGATCACAGAGGTCTACCACAGGTGTTCCCAAGTGTCAGTCTCCTCCACACCTGCGAGATATACTCATCACTGAAGTTCCAAGCTCACAGTTTGCATGTGAAGGTAATGCATTAGTCCTTATGCTAGTTTGTATAAGCTATATATATACATATACAACCTCTCCTCACTTAGCGACGTACTCCTTTACCGATGATTCGGACTTACAACGGGCTCTCTGATCAGTATGCATACCTAATAATGTATATTAGAGCTGATTTTCTCTATTCTGTTTATTACAATATACAGTGCACTACTGTATAAACATTTAAAAACATACCAGAAATGTTATAAATGGTGCAACGGTAGCATTAAAACAATATCAAAGATGGTTGACACAAATCCACTACCATTATAGTTTGCTCCTCACTTAGCAATGAATTCATTGACCGATGTGGTCTTAGGAACGGAACTCCGTCTTTAAGTGAGGAGAGGCTGTATTTGTTGTGATTAAGGATCATGACTGCTCGAGGAATTTTGTAGACCCAACCACCAGAACTGGTTTAGATGCCTGCAAGAAGATCAATAAGTTTTCCAAGGCAGTCCTTTATGTGCGAAGCAGAGCACAAATTGTCTCGGATATTTGTTATATTGTATCTTCAAGTGATATCCAATTCTTCAGTGACCCTATATTCCCTGGCTAAGATTTTAAGGTTTAGTATATGGCTTTCTCACTAAGTGCATGTCTGTAAATATTCATTAAATGTGTGTTTCCTTACATAAAGACCAAGATATTGCATGTACAGTACAGGCATACCCAGGTAATATGGCAGGTTAGGTTGCAAACCCCCGTTATAAAATCAGTATCACCTTGAAGTGAATCACGGCCTTTTTTCACTTGCCAGTGCATATAAAAACCTAAAAAATGTTTACACTATTATTTTTTAAGTGGGCAATAGTGCTAGGCCTACAAAACTATGTAAAAATAATAAATAAAAATAGCTACAACACTCTATTACTAACCGAATGTGCACATCATTGCTGAAAATAATAAACATGAATATAATTGAAAAGTGCCATATTAGCAAAGCACTCTAAAGCAAGTGCCATATTAGCAAGGTATGCCTGTATACAAACAAATTTTCATAAGCATTGCAGGCACTCTTCATCTTGGTAGTGTTCAAGTACTGAAAATATAAGTTAATTGACTATGCACTTGTAATTTTTCTACAAAATGTAAATTAATTTTGCATATTCCATTTCTTAAATTCACCATCTTGTGACAGGTGGAGATATATCACAGGCAGATGGAGAATATAGTACTTCTCCAAGTGTTTTATGTACTAAGTGTTTTTCCTCTTTATTGGACAAAATTCAATATACTGTAAGCTCAATTTGGTTCATATTTACTTTACTGGATACAAGTGTGAAGCTGGTAGAAATTAGAATCCTTGGACACAAGTAGTCATTGAAGCTAGCACCTTGGGTGAGAAGGGTTGGATTTGAGGAAGTCCTGCCTAGAATGGGCCAGTAGGCCTACTGCAGGCCTCTGTTATTCTTATGTTTTTATGTTTGAATTTGAATATATTGTGTGTGCTTATTGTGTTTTTTGTTTGGGGTTTTGCCACTTTCTATTTTACATGCTAGTTCATGCATGTCATTGTCCACTAACAGTTTCTTGATTGGTAAACTCCTGTATGTTTTTACGTATACGGATGTGTACTTTTCTCAAGAACGTCACTCCATCAGCAGTCATTCATTCCTCGAATGACTTGTGCATGGAATAGACTTTTACAATATATGGACATTAGAGAAATCAGTTGACATGTTTGCTCATTCGTTAACCTTTTAACTGTGTCCAACATACTAGTACACAGGTGATGACTGCATCCAATGTACTAGTATGCACAATTTTTTGTGGCTTCAAAACTGCACACATTTGGTATATTTTTGATGAGTTCCAAGAGTCTTTCTACTCCCAGAACCCAGTCATGGACCAGGCATGTCTTATGTTTTTTTCTTTTGACTGCAGCACACTGCTTGGGTCTCCTACAACCTCTTCATGCATTTGAAAAAATCCAAGACAAGATGGGTCCACATAGTGCATCATGGGTAACACTAACTAGTTCATAATTAATGAAATCAGGACTGTTGTTCCATCACCAGCATCCCTATCAGCAAACTGGGTGTGCAACTGCCAAAACGAGGTCTTATTCCAGCTTCATTACAATTTGTGTATAAATGGTTTAGAAGACCAACAAGTTGATAAATGAGATGCTTGTGCAATCATGGGAAATCTTTGTTCTGGAAACATTTTGCCATTCAGTGGCTTCTTCAGTCCAATACAGAGAAAGGTGGAAGATGAGTTTGAGGTAATCAGTCCCTCAGCCTAGAGTTCATGGGTTCATTCCACCAATCTTGATGAAAGTAATTTTCGTCAAGATAGATTTAACCTAGGATAACCCAACATTGCATCTTATTTCCATCTCTCGATGAGTATTATCCTTGAAACAATTGTAATATCTTTAGATTTCCTTGTAAATATATGTTTTACAATGGCCATGAAGGCACACAGGTGTTATGAACACAGAAATTACTTTGTTCATATAACTCAGGCTATTCCTCTCAAGCCTAACTATATAATAATTAACCTAGGATAAGCCAGTGAAGTCAAACAGTGTGACTTATTTCCACATTTTGAGGAATATTACACATTGAAACAATTGTAATATCATAAGTATTCCTTTTCAATAATGTTAGAAGACCACAGCAGTAAAAATAAAATAAAAAACAATGATTTACACCAATTTAAACCATTTATTCAAAGTGAAGCAATGTTGGGCTTAGCATCTCCCCGTGTTTGAAGTATTTTAATGCCCTAAAACACATCTAATATCATAAGAAACTAGTGTATTTAGTGTTAAACTTTAAAAACAATAAAAACTGAAAAAAATCATCATTTGGTTTTAGTAAATCATAAAACATACGCCACTGTTGCCAACGAGTGATCATTTTTTTGTCAATTTCAACACTCCATAAAATTTTAAATTTTTATCAGATTTTGCTCTCAATCCGTAAGAATTTTCTTTTTTTTTTTTTTTCAAAATCTCTTGCCCCACACAGAAAATTTATTTTCTGGTTGTGCCACAGTTAAAGGGTTAAGAAAGAGTTGTGGAAATGTGTTTATTTGTGAAAATACATTTCATAATACTGTAGTTTATAAAAAATAGAGGAACATGTACACGAGTCATAGAAAAAACTGTCATTTGGCACCATGTTTTAATTATAGTCATTCTTTTTAATGCACACTAAAATGATATTGTCATGACTACAATATATTTTTCTTTCTTGCTACCCAGAGTCCCAGCTAAGTATGTACCTCTGTATTGGTTTGCCTCCTAAATTAGTGGATAGTTCTCTCTTTTAGGTAAATGTTCTTGTTCTATATGTTTGAAGTATGGATTTTGATACGTCGGCTAATTAATAATTACTGTATGTAAAGTAAGCGTATTCCTAGTTCACAGGTTATATTTTCTCCTCATAATCTCCTTAATATCTCATGGTATAAATGAATGCTAATACTGGTGTATACAAAGTTCATTGCTGATATATGATGTAGATGTCTTTACAGTCATTGAAAATAAAAACTAAATTTCTCTAATTTCAGGTGATGAACCAGGCTGCTTTGGGGTTGAGGAACGATGTCCTCCTGAGTGCAGATGTGAAGGCACTGTTGTCCGTTGTTCCAGAGCAAGACTACGCCAGATCCCTAAGGGCATACCATCACACGCCACTGAACTGTAAGTTTTTATTTGTATTTTTTGTGATGAATCTTTTGACTCATGAAACCATAATGAAATAATTGTAAATCACTCAGAACATATGGAGTTCAAATGCATGGTGAGCCAATCATAGAACTAGCATGCCAGCATGCTAACTACTGTACCATGCTAGCTTTATAAGATTTATCTGACTAGGTATATTTCTATACCCTAGGAAGGTTTGCATAGGCACTCTGTGACCACAGTGCAAGTTTTTGAAGATGAATCTCAAACCAGCATGTCTGTGTTATTATGGGACATTAGCTAGAGCTTACCACAACTATGTTGGTGTGAGAGTCATATGTAAAAGCCTGCATTGTACACAGATACCCCGCACTTAGAAGAGAGAAGCTTATGACAACATTTTGGTCTGACTTGTGACATTTACAAGCAAGGTGAGGGAACTAGTGTATATTAAAGAGGGGGGCAGGGATGGGACAAAGAGACAAAGAAAGATGGGGAGAAGTAGTAGTAGAGGTAATGCTGGTGGTGGAAGTAGTAGTATAAGTAGTAGTAATAGTGGGGCTCATGCTAACCTTAGTTGGATGAATCTTATAAAGCTGACATGGTACAGTGGTTAGTACACTGACCTGTTAGTTTTATAACTGGCTTGCCATAGAGTTGAACCCCTATCCATGCTGCGACAAGCCTACTGTACCCTGATGAGTACAGTAGTATTGTCAGTTTCAAAGCTATGTAGTAAAAATAACATTCATAAGAGTCAGTATCACTAAAATCATTATAGTTTTTAAAAGGATATTCCTTCACAGACATATACAGGAGGTTCATGACTTACAAATGTCTCTGGTTGTACACACCCACAGTAACAACTAATGGAATTAGAAACTAATTCTAATTGCACAACTTTTGATCTGCAGTACAGATGTGTGAAACATAACCATTCTTTGTAGCAATGTTTTCTATACAAACAACTTGTTTGTAAATTAAAAACTAGGAACACATTTGTAAGTTTGAGACCTACTGTAAATATGTCATAGATCTTGTAAATTACATGTTACTGTATGCATTTTGATATAAAAAATTCATGAATAACTAATTTTATCATACAGGTACTTGGATGTCAATGAAATAACTGAGTTGGACGCTGATAGACTTTCTCACTTGACAGCCCTGACCAGACTGTAAGTTAACTTAAGTTGTAAATTTTAGACTGTCTTACAAAATTACACATTATAAATTCATTATTACTATGGATTTAGATTCATTCATTCATTAGAGATTCGCCGGTACTTCCGGCCCGGGTCTTCTCCATATGGTGACTCCATATGGTGATTACAGTTTTTTGCTTTCACAAAGTAAACTTTGACTCGTTTTTGACTATTGGAAAGGTAATATAGTAATGGAAGTGTACCAAAGGAGAAGAATCATCACTTTCAGCATTTTTGAATTTTAAGTATACTATCTTTATTTTTTGTATCATAGTAACATTGAACCATGAACTTTACATAGTTGTTTGTTTGTTAACAGAGACCTGAGTAACAACCAAATTGCTGTACTGCAAAACAACACATTTTCCAGCCTTCATCAACTGTCAACATTGTGAGTATAATAAAAAATAATAATATCTTAATTTCTACAAGTACATGTACAAGGTATACAGGCCTAGCTGACATCACTGACATGTTACTATATAGAAAGCCACTTGTTATGCACAGCATTTCCTGCAAATTAGGTCAGTTTTTTTCCCAGGATGCGACCCACACCAATCGACTAGCAACCGGGTACCCATTTTATACTGATGGGTGAACAGGGACAGCAGGTGTCTTATGGAAACACATCCCTAACGTTTTCCAGCCGTACCGTAGACTCGAACTCCGAACCTCAGTGTGTGAGCTGAGTGCACTAGCTATCGAGCTACGGGACACCCTTCGAGCTAGCCATACCTTTGACTTTTGATATGCCTTTGGAGAGTTTCGAGAGTTAATCTACTCTCTGAGCCCAGCCATGGGCCAGGACTCGTCTGGTGCTTGCCTGGTCAACCAGGCTGTTGCTGCTGGAGGCCAGCTGCTCCACATATCCATCACAGCCTGGTTGATCTGGCACCTGGTAAAGATACTTGTCCAGTTTCCTCTTGAAGGCTTCTACACTTGTTCCAGCCATGTTTCTGATATCTTTTGGTAAAATGTTGAATAGTCTGGGACCCCGGATGTTGATACAGTGTTCCATTATTGTCCCCACCGCACCCCTGCTCTTCACTGGGTTTATTTTACACTTCCTCCAATATCTCTCACTCCAGTATGTTGTTATGGCAGTGTGCAGATTTAGGACCAGGCCCTCGAGTATTTTCCAGGTACATGTATATATTATCATGTATCTCTCTCGTCTCCTCCATTGAATACATGTGCCGCATGAATACATGAATACATGTGCCGCAGCCACAGCAAGCAGCAACAAGGCTGCTCCTATATCTTGCCGTCCCCTGGGCCTATCCGAACTCCAGTGATGGCCAAATTTGCAAGTACTGCTGCAACAACATGCAAGGAACCTATAGTGACATAAAAACTGACGGTGACGACAACGAAATGGACTAAATATGACAAAAGAGGGACCGGCATTCAAGTACCAGACCTGCTGCCAGACGTGAACCAGACATGAGACGTTTTCCACTACAATGAAATAACTGACCTCCATATCAACTGCACCAGTGTTTAACGGGAAGACAACATGGCAGAAAACCTGATCAACTAAATCTCCAAGGAAATGACAGGTCTGTAGGACTTTTTTCTTCAGTGCCAAACGAGGGAAAGAATTGAGCATTTAAACATGGCTGACCGGCATCCAAACAGCCGCTATTGCCAGACGTACAACTAGCGAAGTGAAATTCTCATCTTTACTGACGTTCATCTGTTGACAGTAGCATCATATCTGTACCACCATCATATCACCTGTACCAGTGCTAACGAGAGGGAAACACAGGAGACATCGTCAAATCAACAGTACAAAACTCCAAGGTCGGATATCCCTCAGTGCCAGTCGTGGGAAAGAAGTGAATAGTTAAACAGTCAAGGTTAATGTTTTAGTAGCTGACCTATATTCAGCTGACCAGTGTACAGTGAGAGAATCATAGCAGAAAATGCCAAATATATCTATAAACTCAAGGAAAGTCAGGTTGTAGGTGGCTTTACTCCCCTCAGTGTTTTAAAAATGGCTGAGTCAGCAGAATCAGGTCAGGAGACAACAACACCACACAACCCCCGATAAATGGAATTGAGGAGGATTTGGAAGGATAAAACCATGGATTAAACCTTTCTGATCTACCAGAATGGAAAGGAGTTAGAAGTTAATTGGGGAAGCCAGACTGTGAAGTGAGATGGGAAGGGGAGTGTGTAATAAGGGGTTAACTGTAAGGGGTTTGTGAAGTTAAGGGAAAAGTTTTCAGCAGCAAAATAACGGGCTATGCAAAAGGTATAAGCAAATTCTAAATTCAACTAATTAATACTCCAACCCAGATCACACAATTCTCAGCCACCCTAATTGACCACATACTTTGTAACCGCTCTGAGAACATTAGTCAGTCAGGCATCATTACCACAGGTCTTAGTGATCATTTCATCATTTACTGCACCAGGAAAATCACTAGGGATAGGATAGGCCTACACAGGACAATAAAAATGAGGTCAACTAGAAACTACAGTAAAGAAACACTGGTAAATGGGCTACACAATTGTGACTGGACAGAGATAACAAGTTGCACGGACGTAAACGATGACTGGGAAAAATTCAAAACAATGTTCACTACCATCCTTGATAATATTGCACCAGTTAAAGAGGTTAGGATTAAACAAAGAACTGAACCCTGGATGAATGCTGAGATATTAGATAATATGAAATTCAGAGACCAGCTGCTAAAAAGATTTAAAGCAAACAGACAGGATATTGCAGCACTAAATGAATTCCAAAGGGTGAGGAACAGAGTACAGAGACTTATAAAAGGAGAAAAGGCAAAGCACTACTGCTCAAAAATTGAAGAGTATAAGCATAACCCCAGAAAGCTCTGGCAACAACTAAAACAGTTGGGGTATAGCCATAAGCCAGTAGATAGGTCTAACATAGTACTCACTATCGATAATGAGGTATGCCACGAAACATCTAAGGTGGCAAATTGCTTTAATTCCTACTACACATCTGTTGCATCAACACTAGTAAGTAAACTACCAGCTGTATCAAATACCTTTAACACAGACTCTGATAAGTTTCAAACATACTATACCAATAAAGGGGTAACCCCAAACAGTTGTCAACTAGTAAGTGTATCTCATGACTTTATTCAAAAAGAACTAAGCAGGTTAAACCCAACTAAGAGCACAGGCCCTGATAACATCCCATCTAAGTTCCTAAAAGATGGTGCTTCTGAACTGTCAATCCCTATTGCTCACATAATAAATCTATCAATCACCACTAATACCATACCGGAGGGGTTCAAGGAGGCCAGAGTTACTCCTATCTTCAAGAAAAATAGTAGGTCTGATGTAAGCAACTATAGGCCTGTTAGTATACTCAGTATAATATCTAAAATTCTAGAGAGGGCGGTGTATTCTCAAGTAGTTAAGTACCTTAATGACAACAACATTCTCCATAGCTATCAATCAGGCTTTAGAAGATCCTACTCAACCGACACCTCCCTTATTAATCTGATGGATTACCTGAGAACTGAAATGTCAAAGGGGAACCTCATAGGTATGGTAACCTTAGACCTGCAAAAGGCCTTCGATACTGTCAACCACAATTTTTTTTTTTATTATCACACCGGCCGATTCCCACCAAGGCAGGGTGGCCCGAAAAAGAAAAACTTTCACCATCATTCACTCCATCACTGTCTTGCCAGAAGGGTGCTTTACACTACAGTTTTTAAACTGCAACATTAACACCCCTCCTTCAGAGTGCAGGCACTGTACTTCCCATCTCCAGGACTCAAGTCCGGCCTGCCGGTTTCCCTGAATCCCTTCATAAATGTTACTTTGCTCACACTCCAACAGCACGTCAAGTATTAAAAGCCATTTGTCTCCATTCACTCCTATCAAACACGCTCACGCATGCCTGCTGGAAGTCCAAGCCCCTCGCACACAAAACCTCCTTTACCCCCTCCCTCCAACCCTTCCTAGGCCGACCCCTACCCCGCCTTCCTTCCACTACAGACTGATACACTCTTGAAGTCATTCTGTTTCGCTCCATTCTCTCTACATGTCCGAACCACCTCAACAACCCTTCCTCAGCCCTCTGGACAACAGTTTTGGTAATCCCGCACCTCCTCCTAACTTCCAAACTACGAATTCTCTGCATTATATTCACACCACACATTGCCCTCAGACATGACATCTCCACTGCCTCCAGCCTTCTCCTCGCTGCAACATTCATCACCCACGCTTCACACCCATATAAGAGCGTTGGTAAAACTATACTCTCATACATTCCCCCCTTTGCCTCCAAGGACAAAGTTCTTTGTCTCCACAGACTCCTAAGTGCACCACTCACTCTTTTTCCCTCATCAATTCTATGATTCACCTCATCTTTCATAGACCCATCCGCTGACACGTCCACTCCCAAATATCTGAATACGTTCACCTCCTCCATACTCTCTCCCTCCAATCTGATATTCAATCTTTCATCACCTAATCTTTTTGTTATCCTCATAACCTTACTCTTTCCTGTATTCACCTTTAATTTTCTTCTTTTGCACACCCTACCAAATTCATCCACCAATCTCTGCAACTTCTCTTCAGAATCTCCCAAGAGCACAGTGTCATCAGCAAAGAGCAGCTGTGACAACTCCCACTTTGTGTGTGATTCTTTATCTTTTAACTCCACGCCTCTTGCCAAGACCCTCGCATTTACTTCTCTTACAACCCCATCTATAAATATATTAAACAACCACGGTGACATCACACATCCTTGTCTAAGGCCTACTTTTACTGGGAAAAAATTTCCCTCTTTCCTACATACTCTAACTTGAGCCTCACTATCCTCGTAAAAACTCTTCATAAAAACTTCAAGCTATCGGTATAGGTTCTGTAGACTGGTTTAAGTCCTACCTTAGCAACAGGAGACAAATAGTCAAAATCAACAAAACAGAATCAGAACCCCTGCCGATAACATGTGGAGTTCCCCAAGGTAGTATTCTGGATCCCTTATTATTCTTATGTTATGTCAATGATATGCCTATCAGTGTCAAGTGCAAACTCCTACTGTATGCAGATGACAGTGCTCTGTTAGTGTCAGGTAAAGACCCACAAGATATTGCTAATGTTTTAACACTGGAACTGGAGTCCTGCAGCAAATGGTTAGTAGACAACAAACTATCATTACACCTAGGGAAAACTGAAGCCATTCTCTTTGGCACGAAACATAAACTGAGAAGGGTAAATAATTTTAATGTTCAATGTAATGGGGAGCCCATCACTTTGGTTTCATCAGTAAAATATTTGGGAATCCCCTTTGACCCATGCATGTCAGGAGAATTGATAGGGAACAGTGTAGTAAAGAAAGCGAATGCCAGACTGAAGTTCCTGTATAGACAAACACAGTGTCTACCTACTGAGGCTCGCAGGACCCTATGTCTAGCCCTTATACAATGCCATATGGATTACGCTTGCTCTTCTTGGTACTCTGCCTTGACAAAAAAACTGAAAGATAGATTGCAAATCACCCAGAACAAAATCGTAAGATTCATCCTGGGGCTGGGACCAAGAGAACATGTAGGCCAGGATGAATTACAGCAGTTGGATATGCTGAATGTTGAAGACAGAGTAAAACAACTGAAGCTAAATCATGTTTATAAAATTGCTCACAAACAATGTCCAGAATATCTTGCTGTCAATTTTGTCAAGGTTGGGAACTGCAGCAATCATAGTACTAGGGGGAGAGAGCACAACTTTGTAGTAGCCACAGTCATTGGCCAGGCTTCAAACACCTTTTATTGTACAGCAATAAAGGAATGGAACAGACTGCCTGCACATGTCAAAGCCAGTCATAGCATGAACCAGTTCAAGAAGAGTGCCAAAAAGTGTCTGATGAATGTAGCTACAGAAAGGGAGGGGAATGATTTTCTATTTTTTAGCTAACATACGTGTAAATTTTACCGTATTCCTAGTAATGACCCTCGTATTGTAGATAGTCTTAATGACCTTCGTGTAGTAGATAGTCTCTTTAGTATGATAATAAGATGTTATCTTCATTGTAGAATAATAAGAAAATATTATAACCTTTATATTATAATAATAAGGTAAAAGGACCCCAATGGAAATAAGTCACTCTGTCTGACTTTTTTGGGTTATCCTAGGTTCTCTACACATATGCTGCTATGTATGATAATTCTATGTAACTGTATTGTGTATACCTGAATAAACTTACCTACTTACTTACTTACTTAAGACTTGCAGGCATTCTCAGTAGTTTAGGTACTTTACTGGCTCAGTGTGAGCCATAAATGATCTCTGTATTAGTTCCAGCTCCGATATTTCTCCTGTTTTGAATGGGGCCATCAGCACTGAGCAATATTCTAAGTGAGGGAGCACTAGCGATTTGAAGGGTGTCACCATCGGCATTATTTCCCTTGTTTTGAAAGTTCTCAATACCCACCCCGTCATCTTCCTGGCTGTCGTGATCTTTGCCTTGTTATGGTCTCTAAAAGAAAGGTCCGCTGACATAATTATTTCCAGGTCTTTTACGTGTTCCTAACGTTCTATTTGGTGACCCTCTTGAGTTTTGTATACGTATAGTGCTCCTTTTGAGTTTTTCATTCTTTCTATACCTAAGCAGCTGGAACTTATCACCATTGAACGTCATGTTCAGTGGTCGTTCTTCCTTGTCACTTGGTATACAGTTACAAACTTATATATGCAGTGGACCTCACCTAACAACTTAGGGACTGAAGAATGGTTCATTAAGCAAAAAAATATTTTTATTATATTTTTCTGTAAGAACCCATGTTATAACGTTAGATAGGAGCCAAGATAATAGTATTTTCTATCTAATTCCTATTATTTTTCAGTGATGAAATTTAAAAAAATATATACGTACTTACCAAAGATAGGTCTGTTATTTAGTAGGAGCACAATGGTGTTATATCCTGATATCATGCATGCATGCATAATGCAAAAAGTATAGACGATTTTGAATTACATACATAGCATTTGTCCGATGTAATATTACATAACATGAACTTGTCCAATGTCATATTACATACATAACACTTGTCCCTCCTTTTACTAGAGTGGTCTGTTATTTAGTATTGGCATAATGGTGTTATACCTCTGTTTAATGAGTGCATACCTAGAATGTATGTGAAGGGTGTTTCTGGGGGTCAGTGCCCCTGCAGCTCGGTCCGTGACCAGGCACGGCACAAAATCTATTAAGACTTAAGACATAAAAATATTGAGAAAATTGTCATATCATATTTTTGTTGTTCGTTATAATGACTCCCAGATCACTGTCTTAAATTAGTTGTAATGAACTGTAGATCAGTAGTTGGCCTAGGACCTGTCACAGCCTTTCAACTAGGCAATAACAAAAACACGGTGCAATACTTCTCTCGATACTTTAATAATTTTTCCGACGATTTCTGTGTTAAGCATTTGTAGTAGTATGTAAGACAGTGTTTCGTGACATCATATTGCACTCACACTCACACTTAATCTCTCTCTATGGTTTTTGTTGTTACTTGATGTAGGAAACACTTGATTTAGTTGCATCCATGGAGAACTGTGAGGTAGTAAGGCAATATATGTATTTATAAACATTATCTGATGGTTGTACCAAGAAATGGCCATTAATTGAGGCAAGAGGGGACTGGCACCACAGTATGAAATTTGGTCATTAAACAAGTGTGCGCTGGTCATTAAATGGGGAAACGGTCCTTGGTTTTTTGTTTTAGTCGTTATTTGAAATTGTTACAGGAATGGTTTTTAAGCAGATGAACTCTGTAATTTTTATTATGAATGAATGTTATATATATGGTGTGTGTTGTATTAGATTATTGTTTTCATATTGATCATTGTACTCAAATTTATTTGAATATAATAGTCATCATATTTTGTAATTTGGAATAAAAAATTTTCTTTTTCCGCTTCAAAAATAGTTCTTTGTTTTTTCCCACACATTCAAACAGAATTATCAGCTACAATAAACTGCAGTGCATGCAACGAGACTCATTGTCTGGCCTGCGGAAACTGCGTATATTGTAAGTACAGTATGTTTTTGTTAACTATTTGCATTTTCATGATTAGAGCTGTTTTAATGTTGCCCTGTCTAATATAATTATTTTATCATCAAATTTTTTGGATTTCCAGTAGTGGCAGATGGCTTTTCATTGAATTTCTTTCCAACCAATAATACTTTGTTACCTGTTCTACATTACTTCTTTCTATATTTTGAGCTTAACCCTTTGAGAGAATAAATCTATGTGGTAAGTGGGCACCACATAAAACAAATACTGCAGCACGCAGTGCATAATGAGAGAAAACTGCAACCGTATTTTTAGATTAAAACAGCGACTTTGCGTTGTTTTTTGTATGTTTTTTACAGTTGTACTCGCGTTTTCTTGGTCTCATTTGATAGAATGGAAGATATAGAGATGACTTTGATTGGTATTAGTATTGAAAATGGCTTGAAACTGAGCTCAAAGTAGTGGAAATGTTAAATTTTTGCCGATGTTCAAGAGTAAACAGATGATGTCACACGTCTAGTACCCATTAGCTGGTGTGAATAAAAATTCATTACGTGAATAAAAAATAAAAATGGAATTTACTTGTAAAGCCTGAAAACATAACTAATACACAGAGGAAATGTTTGTTTAGTGCTAGGAATGCCTGCATTGTTTATTCTGGACCCTATTTTGAAATTGAAATATTTTGAACTGTGTTAAATTGGCCAAATTTAACACAAAGTACCAATTTCCAATCACTTTATTGGGTGAAGATTGAGACACTTATGCAACATATGGGAATCTTTATTCAGGAAACATTTCGCCACACAGTGGCTTCATCAGTCCTGGAGTTGATGTGTTCAGTCCATCAATCTTGTAGAATGTGATTGATGGACTGAACACATCGACTCCAGGCTGAGGGACTCATTACCTCAAACTCCTCCTCTCCTTATGCCTTTCTACTTTGTATTGGACTGATGAAGCCACTGTGTGGCGAAACTTTCCTGAATAAAGATTCCCATATGTTGCATAAGTGTCTCAATCTTCAACTTGTCGGTTTTTCAAACCATTCATCACAACTTTATTGGGTAATTGAAACAGTTGACTGGGCGATTTCTTGTGCTCGGTCAATGAAATAGAAATAATACTAGCAAAATAGCTAAGAATTTGGTCGACTGGAATAATGTAATTGGCCTAAAATGGTCGTCAAAGTCGGCAAAATCACCGATGCGTAAATATCACTGATGCAACCAAATTTGTGATGGTGTAATTTCATCAGTTTTCCATCAATTTCATACTTTTTGTTTTATTACCTTCAGAAAAAGATTCTCTACCATTTCATAAGAAAAAATAACAAAAGATTTTTTTGAAAATTCTTGGACCCTGACTGTCACTCGAGATCTAGCCTCTGGACCCCTCAAGGGTTAATAACCTCTTGCTTATCCTATTGGTATCTTTTAAAAACTCTCCTGTTCTTTTATTCCCCCATAAACTTTAAGAGGTCATCATATGTCCTCTACTTTGCAGTGAAGGCAATTATATTTGAAACACTTTCTATTTGTCAATTATGGGATCCAACACTTAACCCTTTCAGGGTCCGTCCCGTAGATCTACGGCTTTATGTTCAGGGTCCAAACCGTAGATCTACGCCATGAGCTCAGCTCACTCTGATAAACTGTGAGTGGTACATTTGGGCATAGATATGAGAGAATACATCTATGTGGTATGTGTGCACCACATAAAACAGATCCTGCAGCACACTGTGTATAATGAGAGAAAAAAATGAAATCATGATTTTTCGATTAAAACAGCAACTTTGCAGTGTTTTTTCGTATGTTTTTTATAGTTGTATTTGCGATTTCTTGGTCTCATTTGATAGAATGGAAGACATATTACAGAAATAGAGATGATTTTGATTGGTTTTTAGCATTGGAAATGGCTTGAAAATGAGCTCAAGTAGCGGAAAATGTTAAATTTTTGCCGATATTTCAAGAGTAAACAAACGACCTCACACATCTAATACACGTCAGCTGGTGGGTCTAATATACATTCACAAATATGGTGATGATATTTATACTATTATTACAGTATTGCATAAGAGTAAATCTTCTATTTTTTGGTGTGAATAAAAATTCATTATGTGAATAAAAAATCAAAATGGAATTTATTTGTAAAGCCTCAAAACATAACTAATGAACAGAAGAAATGTTAGTTTAGTGCCAGGAATGCCTACATTGTTCATTCTGGACCCTATTTTGAATTGGAATATTTTGAACTTTGTGTTAAATTGGCCAAATTAACAATTTCCGATCACTTTATTTTGTAGTTGAAACAGTTGACTTGGCGATTTCTTGTGCTCAATCGATAGAATAGAAGTAATACTAGTGAATAGCTAAGAATTTGGTTGATTGGAATAATGTAATTGGCCTAAAATGGGAGTCAAAGTCGGCAAAATCGCCGATTCGTAAATATCGCTGACACATCAAAATTCGCGAGAGCATAATTTCGTCAATTTTCCACCAAATTTCGTACTTTTTGTTTTATTACCTTCACAAAAAGATTCTCTACGATTTCATAAGAAAAAATAACAAATTTTTTTTTTTGAAAATTCTTGGACACTGGTGTGTGACTCCAGATTTGGGCCTTGGACCCTGAAAGGGTTAATACTTTCTATTTGTCAATTATGGGATCCACTGTGTTCTCTTGTGTTTTTTTCTATGTAATTTACTGTATATATTTTTGGCTATAGCTTCCCATATGTTATAGTTTTTACAAAAGTCATGACATTATTCTTCAGTGTATTCACCTCATGGCAAGTATTTATGCACTAGTACCTTTTATATACAGTAGTATTTTTTTAAGCAAAAACTCAGCATAAATTGAAAAAATGAGCATTTACCCATAGTCCATTAACTAAGAACACAATTACCCAGAGTTAACATACTGTGTTTATGGTAATGTCAGCTGTAAATGCTGACATTGCAGTATTCCTCATTCTCCATCTTACCTGATTTGTTAACAAGGTAGCCAAACAGCACACTGTCCAGGCAGTCTTATATGTGACTTAGTTTTTCTGCATGTGGTACCCTAAGTCATTTTGACTGAGCATGAGATAGGCAATGTATGTAGATATCTCTTCCTAATTAAATACACCTAAGAAAATTTTAAAATTAGAAAATTAATCATTTGAACATTTAGGAAACAAATATGAGGCAGTTAGATAGAAGTAAACACAGAACTTTTAAGAAATAACAGAGAGACTGATTATAAATCATTGCTCTAAATGAGAAGTAATTTTTATATTTTATTGAATTCAAATGATGACTCAAACCACCATATGTGCCATCAAGTTTTCCTAGCAGAACTCTCCTTTTAACTTGCATATTCCAAGTGCTTATCCCAATATATGTGACTTAGATATGACCCACATAGGTTTGGCACCCTTTTCACTATATATTAATAATGACTCAGTTGTATGCATATTTAATATTTGCCTGTAAGCTTGTAATCTGGTAGTAATTCTGTAATAAAAACTACCTGTACAATATTCGTTGTATTATTTCAGCGTGGAACATATACAGTATATTAAGAGAATAGGTAATGCAGATTTTATTTTAATAGAGAAGTTGGTTTTCTGACACCTAAAACTTTACACAAAGGTCTATTTATCTCACTTCAGGTCTCTTCATGGGAATGACATTTCAAGAATTCCCGATGGTGCTTTTCGTGACCTTGTCTTCATTACACATATGTAAGTGTGCTCTTCTTGATAAAACATTTATTTTCTATATTTTCAATAACCAGAACTATTATCCGGAGGGCTGAGGAGGGGTTGTTGAGGTGGTTCAGACATGTAGAAAGGATGGAACAAAATAGAATGACTTCGAGAGTGTAAAAATCTGTAGTGGAGGGAAGGCGGGGTAGAGGTCTGCCTAAGAAAGGTTGGAGGGACGGGGTAAAGGAGGTTTTGTGTGCGAGGGGCTTGGACTTCCAGAAAGCATGTTGGACTTCTGGAAAGCATGTGTGTGCATGTTATATAGGAGTGAATAGAGACAAATGGTTTTTAGGACTTGACATGCTGTTGGAGTGTGAGCAAAGTAATATTTATGAAGGGGTTCAGGGAAACTGGCAGGCCGGACTTGAGTCCTGGAGATGGGAAGTACAGTGCCTGCACTCTGAAGGAGGGGTGTTAATGTTGCAGTTTTATAACTGTAGTGTAAGTGCACCTCTGGCAAGACAGTGATGGAGTGAATTATGATGAAAGTTTTTCTTTTTTGGGCCATCCTACCTTGGTGGGAAACAGCTAATGTGTTAATAAAAAAAATCTATACTGTGCAGTATTGTACATAAGTCACACATCATGGAACCCAGCAATGCATAATTATCATTGACTGATAACTTTATAACTCATAATCTGGTGAAGTTGCAGGTGGAGTACATTAATTTATTTTTCAGTTTTAGAGAGAATATTAAACAGCTGTATAATAGTATACTTATTATTGTTATTTACAGAGCAATGGGAGCAAATCCACTTTATTGTGATTGCTCCTTGGCATGGTTCTCAGACTGGGTAAAAGGTGATTTTGTGGAACCTGGTATTGCACGATGTGCTGAGCCAGCAACCATGAGGGACAAGCTAGTACTTACTACACCAACTCAAGCTTTTAAGTGTGTTCCAAAGGTCCCTGATGAGGTTAGTCAAAACACATTAATAGGTTTAAGATTTTTTCAAGTGTTAAATTTTTTCTTACAATTGCGGCTTCTTATACAGTAGTACAGTAAGCTCTCTTATAATTTGTGGGTTACATTCCTGAAAGTCAGTACATTATGAAAAATAGCACTACATGAAGTGAACGTATGGGAAAATTAGGGTTACATATTTGTCATTCAGTTTTCTGTACATGACTTTCCTTATTGATGGAAAATCAGAGAAATAATTTGCCCCAGACCATAATTGAATAACAAAGAGAGGCACAATACCGTGACTGGAATGATACACAAATAACCCGCACATAAAAGAGAGAAGCTTACGACGACGTGTGAAAGTGTGACTTTGTAAATGGTCCAAGTCGGACTGAAACGTCATCGTAAGCTTCTCTCTTTTATGTGCGGGTTATTTGTGTACCATAGTTGACTCCAACCTGCATTTATGGTTCATTGGGGCACTTCATCCCATGATACCTTAATGTGCATCTGTAATATCAAATTTATGTCAGAAGTCTGGCATGTCAATCTCAAAGCTGTCATCCATTGTTCCAATGAGTTTTTTTTTTTTTATTATCTTGCATGTGTAGCGGCATTTAAATGTTATAATAACTCCTTGATCTCAGTGGCTGTATCCAAGATGATGTATCAGTGCGTAACATCAAGATTTTTCCTTGCTATGAAATTTTGGTTGTATTTGAATCATGTTGCAACAAAGTCACAGTGTGAGATGTTGCATTATAAGAGGGCTTACCGTACCTGGAAAATCAGTAACTCTAAAATCCATGTACAGTATCTTAATTTTATGAAAACTGGAATGATATTATATTTTTCATTTTCCTTAAGTTCCAGGTTTTTTCTTCAGGTACTTGCAAAATGTGATTTGTGCTACACTCATCCTTGTGAGAATGGAGCAACTTGCCGTGCCCTTGCCAACCGCAGCTATGAGTGTGTGTGTGCTCCAGCATTTTATGGGTCAAACTGCCAATACAAGATAGATGCTTGTTATGGAAATCCATGCAGGAACCTTGGCACTTGCAAGATTCTAGAAGCTGGTCGATTCAGGTAAGCTATCTATCTTGAGAAAAGATATATACAGCACTTTAGATTCAGTTTTCACATGGGCTTTTAAGATAATATTTTTAGTGTGGAGTTTATTTGTTAAAACTCAAAGTTTGATTAATACAACACTACAGCAAAGTCTACTGTATACACAAGTTTTTTGGCAGAACTTAAATTTTATATTTGTAAAATACCATATTCAGAGTATATATAGATAATAATCTATTAGTGTAAAATAGTGAACAAAGCAGTGGCTACTAGACATTTAGGTAAGGTTATGCTGTAAGAAGCTGGTATGGTATTGACAACAAAGGTACTTGTATGGTGGTAATATGAGATGCTGATAACACACTGTATAGATAATGTGAAATTTGTGGTGGAGTAACACATATGGGGAATTTTAATGTGTTTTTATTTGTGATTGTCTCATAATAACTGGTTTTGTTTTATATAGCTGCCACTGTCCTCCTGGGTTTGAGGGAGACCGATGTGAAGTCAATATTGATGACTGTGCTCAAAATAAATGTGAGAACAATTCTACTTGCATTGATCTTGTGGAGGAATATAGATGCCAGTGTCACCCTGGTTACACAGGTAAATTTATACAATTCTTCATAACTCTGTTGCTTTTTTCCTTGGTAGTTTCATATTTCCATCACTGATTTGCATGTACTATATTGTATGGCATTGAAGACGCTATTTTTTTTTTTTTTTTTTCAAAAAGTCTCGTAAATGTATCCAGTGTCTTGGAGGCCAAAGTATTGTTTATCTTTTTTTCCAAAATTTAGCCAGTCAGAATTGGGGGAGTGTCCTCAACACCGGAGCGTCTTATTTGCCGTAAAATACATTAATTGTTTTCTTGTGGTTGTTAGAATAATAATAATAAATTTCCTGCATATTGTGTCCAAAAATGCCAGGGACCTCTTATGTTCCATGTCCATGTAATGTAATAGATGGAAAGTGGTCATTTCATCTGGATTTTCAGATAAAGGCCACAAACACAGCACATCACTGACAGCTGAACCATTTAGCATTATTTATAAGTATTATGGTTTCGAAGCATTCCATAAATAAGTTACTTAAAACAGGCAACAGTGGATGACTTATAGCATTCCAATGTTTTGGGCATACTAAATTAGAATTTGCAGTTTATGATACAGAACTGATTAATTCATTCATGGTTGAAATATACAGTGGTAGGTTATACCCAAGTTATTTGTCAGAAAAGAAGTTTAATAGAATATGCTCAAGCATCTTGGTGAAGTTATTTGTTAGTCTGTTAGTGCAGGATTATTAGCTTTGTGAGTTTTAAATTTCATACAAATGTAAGAGAGAGGGGAGTCTCGGAAAACAGCTAGTTTTATGGTCAGTTTTTCAGGAGTTAGTCTAACATCCCATTAGTGTCACTTGTCATGAAAGATCATAGAGAAAAATGTAAATTGGTTCTCCCCCTCTTCGTTTGTAGACTATTAAAGCATCTATGTAGTTACACTTTAGAATTAATTTGATTTTTCTCTTAAATGCATTACTCTTTACTTTCATTCAGGTGATTACTGTGAACGAAAGATCCCCTTCTGTAGCAAAGAATTTAATCCCTGCAAAAATGGAGCTGCCTGTGTTGATCACTTCACCCATTATGAGTGTCAGTGCTCTCTGGGATACTCTGGTGAAAATTGTACCGAGAACATTGATGACTGTGTCAACCATTTGTGTCAGGTACTATATAGTCTTTGGTATACTGATATTCTTTTGTGTTACACACTGTATACTCTTCTCTGGGTAATGTTGAAAGTCACTTGTAGCAAATATATGAAATAGTTAATACTGTAGTGTACTGTTTTGCACGATTTTTTAATAGTTAATGTCAACAGAATGGTGCATCATGTGTAGATGGAGAGAATGAATACACCTGTAAGTGTATTAATGACTACACTGGAAAGTTCTGTGAGGTTGGCCCAGCAGTGTTCCTTCAGACTTCACCTTGTCAACAAAATGACTGCCAGAATGGCATTTGTTTCGTTCCTCCAAACTCGAAAGATTATGTATGCAAATGTTCTCCAGGTTTTTCAGGTAAGTAATGCAGTAAATTTTTTTTTATAAAAATGTCAGGGGTCAGAACCATTAGTCTGAAAATTTACAGATAAGTGCAGATTGATGAATGTTTTTTTTATTTTTTTATTATCACACTGGCCGATTCCCACCAAGGCAGGGTGGCCCGAAAAAGAAAAACTTTCACCATCATTCACTCCATCACTGTCTTGCCAGAAGGGTGCTTTACACTACAGTTTTTAAACTGCAACATTAACACCCCTCCTTCAGAGTGCAGGCACTGTACTTCCCATCTCCAGGACTCAAGTCCGGCCTGCTGGTTTCCCTGAATCCCTTCATAAATGTTACTTTGCTCACACTCCAACAGCACGTCAAGTATTAAAAACCATTTGTCTCCATTCACTCCTATCAAACACGCTCACGCATGCCTGCTGGAAGTCCAAGCCCCTCGCACACAAAACCTCCTTTACCCCCTCCCTCCAACCTTTCCTAGGCCGACCCCTACCCCGCCTTCCTTCCACTACAGACTGATACACTCTTGAAGTCACTCTGTTTCGCCCATTCTCTCTACATGTCCGAACCACCTCAACAACCCTTCCTCAGCCCTCTGGACAACAGTTTTGGTAATCCCGCACCTCCTCCTAACTTCCAAACTACGAATTCTCTGCATTATATTCACACCACACAGTTGCCCTCAGACATGACATCTCCACTGCCTCCAGCCTTCTCCTCGCTGCAACATTCATCACCCATGCTTCACACCCATATAAGAGCGTTGGTAAAACTATACTCTCATACATTCCCTCTTTGCCTCCAAGGACAAAGTTCTTTGTCTCCACAGACTCCTAAGTGCACCACTCACCCTTTTCCCCTCATCAATTCTATGATTCACCTCATCTTTCATAGATCCATCCGCTGACACGTCCACTCCCAAATATCTGAATACATTCACCTCCTCCATACTCTCTCCCTCCAATCTGATATCCAATCTTTCATCACCTAATCTTTTTGTTATCCTCATAACCTTACTCTTTCCTGTATTCACTTTTAATTTTCTTCTTTTGCACACCCTACCAAATTCATCCACCAATCTCTGCAACTTCTCTTCAGAATCTCCCAAGAGCACAGTGCCATCAGCAAAGAGCAACTGTGACAACTCCCACTTTGTGTGATTCTTTATCTTTTAACTCCACGCCTCTCGCATTTACTTCTCTTACAACCCCATCTATAAATATATTAACAACCACGGTGACATCACACATCCTTGTCTAAGGCCTACTTTTACTGGGAAATAATTTCCCTCTTTCCTACATACTCTAACTTGAGCCTCACTATCCTCATAAAAACTCTTCACTGCTTCAGTAACCTACCTCCTACATCATACACCTGCAACATCTGCCACATTGCCCCCCTATCCACCCTGTCATACGCCTTTTCCAAATCCATAAATGCCACAAAGACCTCTTTAGCCTTATCTAAATACTGTTCACTTATGTTTCACTGTAAACACCTGGTTCACACACCCCTACCTTTCCTAAAGCCTCCTTGTTCATCTGCTATCCTATTCTCCGTCTTACTCTTAATTCTTTCAATAATAACTCTACCATACACTTTACCAGGTATACTCAACAGACTTATCCCCCTATATAATTTTTGCACTCTCTTTTGTTCCCTTTGCCTTTATACAAAGGAACTATGCATGCTCTCTGCCAATCCCTAGGTACCTTACCCTCTTCCATACATTTATTAAATAATTGCACCAACCACTCCAAAACAAATATCCCCACCTGCTTTTACATTTCTATCTTTATCCCATCAATCCCAGCTGCCTTACCCACTTTCATTTTACCTACTGCCTCACGAACTTCCCCCACACTCACAACTGGCTCTTCCTCACTCCTACAAGATGTTATTCCTCCTTGCCCTAAAACATGAAATCACAGCTTCCCTATCTTCATCAACATTTTAACAATTCCTCAAAATATTCCCTCCATCTTCCCAATCCCTCTAACTCTCCATTTAATAACTCTCCTCTCCTATTTTTAACTGACAAATCCATTTGTTCTTTAGGCTTCCTTAATTGTTAATCTCACTCCAAAACTTTTCTTATTTTCAACAAAATTTGTTGATAACATTTCACCCACTCTCTCATTTGCTCTCTTTTTACATTGCTTCACCACTCTCTTAACCTCTCTCTTTTTCTCCATATACTTTTCCCTCCTTGCATCAGCTTCTACTTTGTAAAAACTTCTCATATGCTATCTTTTCTCCTTTACTACTCTCTTTACATCATTCCACAATCGCTCCTCTTCCCTCCCGCACCCACTTTCCTGTAACCACAAACTTCTGCTGAACACACTAACACTACATTTTTTTAAACCTACCCCATACCTCTTTGACCCCATTTCCTATGCTCTCATTAGCCTGTCTATCCTCCAATAGCTGTTTATCTTTCCCTAACTGCCTCCTCTTTTAGTTTATAAACCTTCACCTCTCTCTTCCCTGATGCTTCTATTCTCCTTGTATCCCATCTACCTTTTACTCTCAGTGTAGCTACAACTAGAAAGTGATCTGATATATCTGTGGCCCCTCTATAAACATGTACATCCTGAAGTCTACTCAACAGTCTTTTATCTACCAATACATTGATGAATGTGTAGAAAGGTATTCAAAATCAGTTTTGTTTTCTGGTTTTATTGTTCAGATATTTGACATTAGTTGTTCTTTCTTTCAACACACCGGCCATATCCCACCAAGGCAGGGTGGCCCAAAACGAAAAACGAAAGTTTCTCTTTTAAATTTAGTAATTTATATGGGAGAAGGGGTTACTAGCCCCTTGCTTCCGGCAATTTAGTCACCTCTTACAACATGCATGGCTTACAGAGGAAGAATTCTGTTCCACTTCCCCATGGAGATAAGAGGAAATAAACAAGAACAAGAACTAGAAAGAAAATAGAAGAAGACCCAGAGGGGTGTGTGTATATATGCTTGTACATGTATGTGTAGTGTGACCTGAAATCTTGCATGTTTATGAGACAGACAAAAGACACCAGCAATCCTACCATCATGTAAAACAATTACAGGTTTTTGTTGTACACGCACTTGGCAGGACGGTAGTACCTCCCTGGGCGGTTGCTGTTTACCAACCTACTACCTAGACATTAGTTGTTATTATTATTATTATTATCATCAAAACCAAGGGCTAAACCCACCAGGGTCATACATTAGTTATAGAACACTGGAAATACAGTCATGTATTTTTTTTTTTTTACCTATGTTCATTTCTGACAATAATGACATATAAAAATGACAGCTGCCTTTTTATTCTTTAATTTTTCCCTTGATCTTTTGGTAGATAGAAACCATATTACACAAAGAAAAAAAGACAATAATACATACCTAGTGAGTGAGAGAGGGTTGCTCTTTATCTCTGCCATTTTCTTACTAAAATACTTTAACCCTTTGCAATAAAAGGAAGTGGAGGTAACTTTCCTTCCTCATCTGTCTACTGCAGCAGCAGCAGGCAACAGAGTATAAGAGATCATATGGGAAAGAGATGTAAAATACAGGTGCAATAACGGGAGATCATTACAGTGGGATGGGTCTTGCTAACCACTTTAACCAATTATCACAGTGCCACTAGTATTTATTGTCTCTCTCGCCCCTCTGAGTTCTCCATACTGTACTAATTAATGATAGTTGTGTCTGCACTTTTCTTCCCTTTTGTCAAGATATAGTTAAAGCATTTTAGTATGTTGGCAGATATAATAATGATATGAAATATAGGGAGAGGTGGCAAAATGAGGAAGAGAAAATAGAAGAGAGATAATTACAATGCAGTAGGGGGAAAATAAACCTGTATGAGCCATGTCAAGTGGTGTTTAAAAATATAAAAATTCATTAAGAACTAAATGAATCAGAATAAATTTTATTGTTTTTAACACACTGGCAGTCTTCCACCAAGGTAAGGCAACCCTTAAGAGAAAACACATTTATTATCATCCATTCAATAGCTGTCTTGCCAGCAGTATGCAGACATTAGACTCCAAATGACCATTCCTCCGAATTCCCCCATCCCTCCTTCAAAGTGCAGCAATTATACTTCCTACCTCCAGGACTAAAGGTAATAACTTGGTTGACAGCAGCACCATAGAGGTACAGTACTACCATAGTGCCATATGAGTGTGAAATGGAAAGTTCAATTTACACTCTAGCTGGTCTCTCTTCTTTGTTTTGTAAACACAAGATGACAGGTACATTTTCTTATTACCTGCATCCAGTATACACTGCACAGGCAGTTGTGCATGTATACACACTAACATCACAGCTGAACAGTGATGTCAGCACCTTTCTGGCAAGACACTGAATGGGTTACTTTTTTTTTTTTGGGTGGGGGGGGGTCACCCTATGTTGGTAGAAAATAGCTAATGTATTAAAAGAATTACACCTCATCTGCATTATCTTCTAATTATTTAGTAGTTCTTGTCCTTAGTGTTTCTTCTCAATTCCATGGGGAAAGTTTGTTAGAATCATTACCCTATAAGTAACAAGTGCTGTAGACGGCGAATAAAATGATGAGAGCAAGGGGCCAGTAATTATCATTATGACTATATACAGTCTACTGCCACCTTCTAGCATACATCCATTATCATGTTTTTGTTAGTTAACCTGCCCTAATGTATTTGTTGTTGTACAATGGTCTTTATAATGTCATTTTTATATCTTTTTTTATTCAGTATTGAAATATTGACTTCTTATTCCCACTGACTGTAAAAGCTTCATAATTTGTGCAACTTCAAAGTTTTTACTTTACTGTTGTTATTTTTGTAGGTAAACATTGTGAGTACCTCACTCGTGTGCATTTTGGTGCCAATGACTCATACCTAGCTCTGGAGCCTCTCAAAACACGACCCTCAGTCCAATGTGACACTTCACTTCCGAACCAACAAAGAAGATGGAGTGTTACTCTACATAGGGGAGTCGGCACATCTTGCAGTGGAATTGTTTAAGGGTCGTATCAGAGTGTCTTATGATGTGGGAAATTATCCAGTTTCAAATATGTTCAGGTATGGAATGTGTTTTTATATTTCAGTCCCAACCAAAATATTCAACATCTAATTCCATAAAAAATTTCACAAAGAATATTTGCCCAATATTTTATATTCTGTACTGTTCCTTTTCACTTAGAAATAATATATACAATATTCCATGTAAAACAAATCCAAAATTCAGTCATTCTTTGTATTGCCAATTGTCCATTTTTTTTCAACTTAGCAGATGATGCTTAAATTAAAAACCAACCACAGGATTTCATTAAAAAAAATGCTCATTGGATCTTCTATGTCCAGATCTGTTTTCTCTTGGGTCATTCTTTATGATGAATATCAGTATAAACCAGTTTAGAATAATATATAAAGAAAACTTGTTAAAAAGATGAGAGTGAGTTTGTGTTGCAGCAACATTGTCATATCACAGGGTAGGAAGGATTCACTCTTCATACCATCAATATAGGTAAAGCAAGACAGTAGTCTACTGCTGTCCATCACATTTTCACTGTTTGGTACTTATCACCACTATCTTAACTTCATTAAGCAGCTTATACACTCATATTCTGGGAGGATTGGAACCTTCTCTAGTAGTCCTTTCAGTGTGGCCAAAGTAGATGAACACTTCATATTCAGTTAATACAAACAATATAAGTCACCACTTAGGCTAGCACCACTAAAGTGATACTCGGTCTTAGCAGTAACACTATTCAATATATATTATCAATATAAACCACCATGAGGGAAAATTGAATAACAGTGTAAGGGATATTAAACAGTTTATTCACAATACTGTAGTACTTGACATACTGTATATCAGTTATATGATTAGGAGTTATAACAGTCACTGGAAAGGGAGGATTTGACATAGTGAAGTACATGGGAAGATTTTTCTTAATGTTTGAATACTCCAGAATAGGATATACAATCAAATGATACCAAAATAGGACTATCCACATACTCTAGGATTATCCAAGCCCAGCTTCCTAAAAGTCTTACAGCTAATTTCTCCACAGTATAATGGAAGATCAACCTTTTATCCACATTGCATTTTTGAGCTACTATGAACCATTCTTGTATAATGGATTTTGTGTAATAAAATTCAGTATTAAGAGCAATTTTAAGTTTTGTTTTTGAATAAGTAATAATAATAATTCCATAATTTCACTACAGTTATGAAGTTGTAAATGATGGAGAATGGCATTCAGTTGAACTGCTGACCTTGAAGCAGAACTTCACCATGCGTATAAATCGTGGTACCGCTCGCTCCATAATTAATGATGGATCTAATGAATACCTTCAAGTCTCTTCGCCCCTCTATATTGGTGGTCTTCCTAGGGAAGTGGCACACTCTGCTAATAGACAGTGGCATCTGAGGGATTCTGGAAGTTTCAGTGGTAAGGAACTAGTGTGCAGATAATTAAGTTTAATCTACGTATATTGTGAATTATAATACAGTGGAACCTCAGTTTTTGTATGCCCTAGTTGGAGAAAATTATCTATAAAATGTTTTTTTGTTAATATTTTTGGGGGTCTGGAATGGAACCAATTAATCCATTCCAGACACCCAAAAATATTAATAAAAAATACATTTTACAGAGAATTTTCTCCAACTAGGGCATACGAAAACTGAGGTTCCACTGTACTATTATGGTTTATTCATGGGCAAATGCTAAACCTGTAGGGTTCTTATAGCAGTTAGGGAATGGGAGGTAATCAGGTTTGATCCAAGGAAGCAGAGTTTAGCTCTGATTTCTTGGGTTAAGAGCCCTTCATCATTATTAAGGCATTTTCCTTGTAAGGAGTGTATTTTGTAAAACATATTATGGTACTATATTATCTTTTACTTTCTTCAGTTTGTTCACATTACTAATCGATATTTTTTTTGTTATAGGTTGTATGGAAAGGATGTATCTGAATGGTCGTCTTACAGACCTTGGCTCGGGACAGCAACATAAGGTTGCTCCCGGTTGTGGTGGTGAGGAGACAGTGAGAGATCAGGGACTCAATGGGAATGACCAGCACATGTTAAAAGCAGTAAAAGGCCTTGGAGCTAAAGAGGAAGAATGTCATCACAATAACTCGATCACTAATGAAGTTCAGGTAAGGATATGCACCACTTACATATTAGGATAGAATTCAGTAGTTGGTATCCCATACTCTTAACCTTTTGTTAATTTTGACAAAATAGTTATTTGTTTTTAACACGTCGGCCGTCTTCTGCCAAGGCAAGGTGACCCAAAAATGAAGAAACACTTTCACCATCATTCACACATAATCAGTCTGCAAAGGTGCTCAGATATGACAGTTCAGCTATCACTCCAAATGGCAAATATCCCAAACCCCTCTTTTAAAGTGCAGGCATTGTACTCCCCACCTCCAGGATCAAGTCCAGCTAACCGATTTCCCTGAATCCTTTCACAAAATATTACCCTGCTCTCCAACAGATTGTCAAGTCTCAAAAATCATTCTTCTCCTATCTAACACACACGTGCCTGCTTTATGTCCAGGCACCTTGCACACAAAACCTCTTTTACCCCCCCCCCCCCCTCCTTCCATTCTTTCCTAGGATGACCCTCTTTCCCTCCCCTCTGAATAATACTTTTAGTAACTCAACACCTAATTTCCACACTACAAATTCTCTGCATAATATTCACACCACACATTGCTCTTAGACATGACATCTCCACTGCCTCCATTATTATTATTATAATCAAAAAGAAGCGCTAAGCCACAAGGGCTATACAGCATCCACTGCCTCCAGCCTCCTTTTTGCTGCAGCATTTACAGCCCTTGCTTCACACCCATTAAGAGTGTTGATACCACTATACTCTCATACATTTCCTTGTTTGCCTCCATGGATAATGTTCTTTATCTCCACAGATACCTCAGTGCACCACTCGCTTTTTTTTTCCTTCATCAGTTCTGTAGTTTACCTCATCCTTCATACACCCATCTGTTGACAAGTCTACTCCCAAATGTCTGAACACATTCATTTCTTCCATACTCCCTCCCTCCACTGTGATACCTAATTTTTCTTCATCTAACTTATTTGATACCTGCATCACCTTAGTCTTATCTGGCTATTTCCATTGGGGTCTTTTGATCCTCTTCCCTAGAATGCAACCCACAGCAGCCAGGTAACACCCAGGTACTTACTGATAGGTGAGCAGGGGTAACAGGTGTAAAGAAACATACCCAATGTTTCCACTTGTGCTGAGATCAAACCCAGGTTCTTCTTATGTGAACCAAAGACTCTCCCACTTAGGTATACTTTTCCACTGAATCTAGCTTAATCAGATATCTGTAAAATAGACATAGACCAAATAGGGTTTTTATCAGACTCAAGGCCGCTGGTGGTCATAATGCCTAACCTAACCTCATCCTGTACAGTAATAAAGAAACAAACAATGTTTAAAAATGCAGTGATATTTGTAAACTTTTAATGTCTACTCGACAGTAACATTCTCACTTTGGAGATAGCTGTACTATTTTTGACAAGAGCACAGGCTTGCCTGCAGTGTTTTCAATGTTCTGCCTTCTTCCCTTTCTATAATTTCTTGTTAAAAAACTGGAGATGTGTTTACTACTAATGAGGAAGAGTCAGCGATGCTATTGTGCTACCCAACTTAATTTCTTTGGTAAATCATCAATGAACCCCTCCAGTAATATTCAGTAATGTAATGCCATTTATAAACCTGCACCTGTATTCTTAGCTTCCACTGTAGGATGGATATTAGAATTCAAAATTTGTTTTATTCTAATACAGAGTTAATACTGTACTGTATTCTTTAGATACACCCACCTGCACTAGAAGAGAAACATAAGGAAGAAGAAGAAATGACCAGAGTTGATCCATGTGAAAATCACAAGTGTCGTCGTGGACGATGTAAACCCAGACGCAAGTCAGATGGATTTGACTATAAATGTCGTTGCCGAACTGGGTGGTCTGGTAGATTTTGTGACCAAGGTAAGTTTTCCTTCTATTATGTAAAATGCTGAAGTGAGGGAGACTGCTGTAGATGGCATAGGAAGTAAGTTTGGAGTGCTCTGGATGATAATGAGAGGCCTTTAACTGCATTGTGTATAGAAAGAGGTAACACCTTAAGAAAAAACTGAGATGTAATATAGAGAGCAGTGTCATCAATTTGCTAGACTATTTATTAGTAGATGGTATTGATGGGTTGACATCTGGATATGCATATTTTAAAGAGGATCAATAGATTTAGATGATTATTTAGTGGTAGTACAATAAGAGTAATAGATAAAGTACAAGGAGAATGACTGGTGGGTAAAGAGAAGTGAAAGTGAATTACCTTAAGAGAATAACATAATGCAACTAGTGGGAGAAAGGTGGGTTAAGAAAAAGTACAGGTAATGGAGAGGATTTCAGAATTCAGTGCCAAGAGTGCACAGAAGTTTGATGATGGTTGTTAATGGGGATGAGGATTAATGGAATGGAATGGCGAGATGAAAAGGGTGGTGCTGTAGAAAAAAATTAGCATTCAAGAGTTTTTACAATGTAGAAATGATATGTATACAGAAAACAAGAATATATGGAAAGAAGAGAGCTTAGAAAAGTTATGAGAGTGCAAAAGAACCAATGAGAGAATAAATATGTACAGTAGAACCCCCATATCCACTGATTCGGTATCTGTGGTTTCAGTTATCCACAGCTTACTGTGGCACAAAAATGCCTCTTAATTTTGAATAATAATGACCCCCAAAGTAATTCTTCAGAGCTCAAGAGAAGCCATGAAGTGCTTCCCATCAGTGAGCAAGTGATAATTCTCTTCTTCTTGTGCATAATTAATCAGTTAAACTTTATATATAAGTCCTATACGTACCTATTATAAGGTTTGGTACTATCCGCAATTTCAGTATCCATGGCAGGTACTTGGAACGTATCCCAGCAGATACGGGGGTCCTACTGTATTAGCAAATTTTGCTGAGAAAAAATAATTTTGGAGAGATATTAATAAGTTAAGAAAACTGAGGAGCAAGTGAACTTGTCAGTTAAAAACAAAAGTGGAAAAATGTTAGATGGGAGGTGGGTGAACTAGAATATTTTGAGTTGTTCAATAATGTTGATAAAAATGAATGCAGTACTTTCATGCTTTGGGCATGTGTACCCGATTCATTTCCAGGTAGATGCCCATTTGGAGTTTCCCACAGTAGCTAGGGTCCTATGGCCAGCAACACCAGCTGAGCAAGACCAAGGGTACAACAACATATCTATTGACCACTGCAAGACATTAAATCATTTTTTATTTTATTAAGAACACAAGAAAGAAGGAACACTGCAACAGGCCTGCTGACCCATGCAGAGCAGGTCCATTCCCACCCAGTCTGGTCACCTCCACTCAAGGATGGAGCATGGCACCAGACCCAGCAGCACAAGCTAGTCAGATCCAACTCACACCCACTCGTGTATTTTTTTTTTTTTTTTATCACACTGGCCGATTCCCACCAAGGCAGGGTGGCCCGAAAAAGAAAAAGTTTCACTCCATCACTGTCTTGCCAGAAGGGTGCTTTACACTACAGTTTTTAAACTGCAACATTAACACCCCTCCTTCAGAGTGCAGACACTGTACTTCCCATCTCCAGGACTCAAGTCCGGCCTGCCGGTTTCCCTGAACCCCTTCATAAATGTTACTTTGCTCACACTCCAACAGCACGTCAAGTATTAAAAACCATTTGTCTCCATTCACTCCTATCAAACACGCTCACGCATGCCTGCTGGAAGTCCAAGCCCCTCGCACACAAAACCTCCTTTGCCCCCTCCCTCCAACTTTTCCTAGGCCGACCCCTACCCCGCCTTCCTTCCACTAGAGACTGATACACTCTTGAAGTCACTCTGTTTCGCTCCATGTCCGAACCACCTCAACAACCCTTCCTCAGCCCTCTGGACAACAGTTTTGGTAATCCTGCACCTCCTCCTAACTTCCAAACTACGAATTCTCTGCATTATATTCACACCACACATTGCCCTCAGACATGACATCTCCACTACCTCCAGCAACATTCATCACCCATGCTTCACACCCATATAAGAGCATTGGTAAAACTATACTCTCATACATTCCCCTCTTTGCCTCCAAGGACAAAGTTCTTTGTCTCCACAGACTCCTAAGTGCACCACTCACCCTTTTCCCCTCATCAATTCTATGATTCACCTCATCTTTCATAGATCCATCCGCTGACACGTCCACTCCCAAATATCTGAATACATTCACCTCCTCCATACTCTCTCCCTCCAACCTTTCAATCCTCATAACCTTACTCTTTCCTGTATTCACTTTTAATTTTCTTCTTTTGCACACCCTACAATTCATCCACCAATCTCTGCAACTTCTCTTCAGAATCTCCCAAGAGCACAGTGTCATCAGCAAAGAGCAACTGTGACAACTCCCACTTTGTGTGATTCTTTATCTTTTAACTCCACACCACACCTCCACTCCACTCCTCTGGTGGCCTGGTGGTTAACGCTCTCGCTTCACACGGTGAGGGCCTGGGTTCGATTCCCAGCCAGAGTAGAAACATTGGACGTGTTTCTTTCCACCTGTTGTCTATGTTCCCCATCAGTAAAATGGGTACCTGGGTGTTAGTCGACTGGTGTGGGTCGCATCCTGGGACACTGACCTAAGGAGGCCTGGTCACAGACCGGGCCGCGGGGGCGTTGACCCCCGAAACTCTCTCCAGATAAACTCCAGATAAACCTCTCGCATTTACTTCTCTTACAACCCCATCTATAAATATATTAAACAACCACGGTGACATCACACACCCTTGTCTAAGGCCTATTTTACTGGGAAATAATTTCCCTCTTTCCTACATACTCTAACTTGAGCCTCACTATCCTCATAAAATCTCTTCACTGCTTTCAGTAACCTACCTCCTACACCATCTGCCACATTGCCCCCCTATCCACCCTGTCATACGCCTTTTCCAAATCCATAAATGCCACAAAGACCTCTTTAGCCTTCTCTAAATACTGTTCACTTATATGTTTCACTGTAAACACCTGGTCCACACACCCCCTACCTTTCCTAAAGCCTCCTTGTTCATCTGCTATCCTATTCTCCGTCTTACTCTTAATTCTTTCAATAATAACTCTACCATACACTTTACCAGGTATACTCAACAGACTTATCCCCCTATAATTTTTGCACTCTCTTTTGTTCTCTTTGCCTTTATACAAAGGAACTATGCATGCTCTCTGCAAATCCCTAGGTACCTTACCCTCTTCCACACATTTATTAAATAATTGCACCAACCACTCCAAAACTATATCCCCACCTGCTTTTAACATTTCTATCTTTATCCCATCAATCCCGGCTGCCTTACCCCTTTCATTTTACCTACTGCCTCACGAACTTCCCCCACACTCACAACTGGCTCTTCCTCACTCCTACAAGATGTTATTCCTCCTTGCCCTATACACGAAATCACAGCTTCCCTATCTTCATCAACATTTAACAATTCCTCAAAATATTCCCTCCATCTTCCCAATACCTCTAACTCTCCATTTAATAACTCTCCTCTCCTATTTTTAACTGACAAATCCATTTGTTCTCTAGGCTTCCTTAACTTGTTAATCTCACTCCAAAACTTTTTCTTATTTTCAACAAAATTTGTTGATAACATCTCACCCACTCTCTCATTTGCTCTCTTTTTACATTGCTTAACCTCTCTCTTTTTCTCCATATACTCTTCCCTCCTTGCATCACTTCTACTTTGTAAACACTTCTCATATGCTAACTTTTTCTCCCTTACTACTCTCTTTACATCATCATTCCACCAATCGCTCCTCTTCCCTCCCGCACCCACTTTCCTGTAACCACAAACTTCTGCTGAACACTACATTTTTAAACCTACCCCATACCTCTTCGACCCCATTGCCTATGCTCTCATTAGCCCATCTATCCTCCAATAGCTGTTTATATCTTACCCTAACTGCCTCCTCTTTTAGTTTATAAACCTTCACCTCTCTCTTCCCTGATGCTTCTATTGTCCTTGTATCCCATTCCCCTCAAGGAAGGTTCCTTGATGTTGGTGAGGGGCTCTTGATTTAGGGAATTGGATCTGTGCTCCAGTTCCCCGAATTAAGCCTGAATGCCTTCCACATCCCCCCCCCCAGGCGCTGTATAATCTTCCGGGTTTAGCGCTTCCCCCTTGATTATAATAATAATAAATTGTATCCCATCTACCTTTTACTCTCAGTGTAGCTACAACTAGAAAGTGATCTGATATATCTGTGGCCCCCCTATAAACATGTACATCCTGAAGTCTACTCATGTATTTATCTAACCTATTTTTAAAACTACACAACGTTTTAACCTGAATAACTGTACTCGGGAGTTTGTTCCACTTGTCCACGACTCTATTACCAAACCAGTGCTTTTCTATATCCTCCCTAAATCTGAATTTTTCCAACTTGAAACCATTGCTGCTGGCTAAAAATTTTCAGCACGCTATTTACATCCCCTTTATTTATTCCTGTTTTCCATTTATACACCTCGATCATATCCCCCCTAATTCTACGCCTTTCGAGAGAGTGCAGATTCAGGGCCCTCAGTCTATCCTTATATGGAAGATTTCTGATACATGGGATCATCTTTGTCATCCTCCTCTGTACGTTTTCCAGAGCATTTATATCCATTCTGTAATATGGTGACCAGAACTGAGCAGCATAGTCTAAATGAGGCCTAACCAAGGATATATAGAGTTGAAGAACAACCTGAGGACTTCTATTATTTATACTTCTAGATATGAAGCCAAGAATTCTGTTAGCTTTATTGCGAACACTAATGCACTGTCGTCTTGGTTTTAGATTACAGTGGACCCTCGACCAACGATGGCATCGTCTAACGTTAAATCCGACTAGCGATACATTTTAACGCAAAAATTTTGCCTCGACTAGCGCTAAAAAACTCAACCAACACGATTCGTTCCGTCTGAGACGCTTCCACTTGTGGCCAGTGTTTACAAGACAGCCAGCCACTGCGGTCCCATCCAAACATACAATCGGAACATTTCATATTATCACAGTGTTTTTAGTGATTGCACCTGCAAAATAAGTCACCATGGGCACCAAGAAAGCTTCTAGTGCTAACCCTACAGCAAAAAGGGTGAGAATTACTATGGATATGAAGAAAGAGATTATTGCTAAGTATGAAAGTGGAGTGTGTGTCTCCAAGCTGGCCAGGTTGTACACAAAACCCCAATCAACCATCGCTACTTTTGTGGCCAAGAAAACGGCAATCAAGGAAGCTGTTCTTGCCAAAGGTGCAACTATGTTTTCGAAAACTGAGATCGCAAGTGATAGAAGATGTTGAGAGACTGTTATTGGTGTGGATAAACGAAAAACAGATAGCAGGAGATAGCATCTCTCAAGCATTCATATGTGAAAAGGCTAGGAAGTTGCATGAGGATTTAATTAGAAAAATGCCTGCAACTAGTGATGTGAGTGAATTTAAGGCCAGCAAAGGTTGGTTCGAGAGATTTAAGAATCATAGTGGCATACATAGTGTGATATGGCATGATGAGGCTGCCAGTTTGGACCAAAAAGCAGCTGAAAAATATGTGCAGGAATTCAAGGAGTACATAGACAGTGAAGAATTGAAACCTGAACAAGTGTTTAATTGTGACACTGACAATGTTGTGAAACACTTTAGGAATGTCATAAAGGAACGGGAGGTACAGGCCTCTATGGACAGATATGTTGTGCGACAGAGGTCCAGCGACTCTCGAGCTGGTCCTAGTAGCATTAAAAGAAGGGAAGTAACCCCGGAAAAGGACTTGACACCAAGTCCTAATGGAAGGGGATTCCCCTTCTAAACACTAACACCATCCACAGTCTCCCCTCCTCCCATCCTATCAATCATCACCAGATCTTCAGTAAAGGAAAGTGTCATGTAATTGTACATGTCTTCTTCAGTTTGTATTAAAATTAATATTTCATGTGGTAATTTTTGTTTTTTTTTCAATACTTTTGGGTGTCTTGCACGGATTAATTTGATTTCCATTATTTCTTATGGGGAAAATTAACTCGACTAACGATAATTTCGATTAACGATGAGCTCTCAGGAACGGATTAATATCGTTGGTCGAGGGTCCACTGTACTGCTAATCAGAACTCCTAAATCCTTTTTGCAATCAGTAGTATTAAGATCTACATTATTTAGTTTATATGTGGCATGGTTATTTAACTGTCCAACATTTAGAACTACGTATGCATTTGTCAATATTAAACTGCATCTGCCACTTCTCCGACCATTGCATCAGTCTATTCAAATCATCCAGGAGTGCTCTAGTGTCCTCATTAAAATGAATTGGACGGCCTATTTTGGTGTCATCAGCAAATTTGCTTATGTCGCTATTTATTCCATCACCTATGTCGTTTATGTAAATTGTGAACAACAATGGGCCCAACACTGACTCCTGAGGAACACCGCTTGTGATGTGCCCACATTCTGATTTCTCGCCATTTATGAAAACTCTCTGCTGCCTATTTGTCAGCCATGCCTCTACCCAGGAAAAAATTTCAAGATTATTAATTAGTGAATCTTTGTTGGCAAGAACCAAGTCAAGCAGATTGTTTCCTCTAGTTGGTTCTGTCACAACCTGTTCTAAAAAGCAATCCTGAACCGTATCAAGAAAGTCACTAGACTCAAGATTTCCTGTCATATTGTTCCAATCAATTTGTCTGAAGTTAAAATCTCCCGTTATCACAACATTTTCATATCTAGATGCCTTATGAATTTTGTCCCATAACAGCTTACTGCACTCCCTATCAAGGTTTGGGGGCCTATAAATCACACCCAAAATTAATTTGTCACATACCTCGAGAAACTGTAGCCAAACAGATTCTGTGTTCGATGTTTCTAATCTTATATCATGTCTAAGACAGCAATTTAAATTTTCTCCGACATACATCGCCACACCACCACCCTTCCTGTTGACCCTATCAGTGTGGAATAGTTTATAACCCTGTATGTTGCATTTAGAGGGCATTTCTCTATCTTTCAGGTTGAACCAGGTCTCTGTTATACCAATTATTATATATATTACCTGAACTTGCAAGTAATCTTAGCTCATCTATCTTATTTCTTAGACTCCTACTATTTGTATAGTCAACCTTAAGGGAGCTAGTCACTCATTGCCCTCTACTATCTTTCTTTGTTGATCAGTTGATTTGCCATTACTAGCAACTTTATTTTGATTATTGTCTTTTAAACATATCCTTGAGGTATCCCAGTAATAACTGCTGTTTTTAGCCCTAACGATGCAGCCTGATTGTATCTCACACACACCCATACCTCTATAATCTATCAGTTTAAATTCCTAGACAAGTCATCAATTATCGTCTCAATTGAATTGGCTACTGCAACCACTCCATCCCCAGAGAGATGAACCCCCATCCCTTGCATACATACCACGTTTGCCAAAGAATAGGTCCCAGTTATCAATGAATGGGATTGCAAGTTCCTTGCAGTGCCTGTCTAGCCAGCAGTTTATACCAATTGCCCTAGACATCCATTCATTGCCCACTCCCTTTCTAGGCAATATGCTACATATGACTGAGATCCGTCCCTTAAGACCTAACTACTTCTATGGCTGACCTGTACTTATCCAGCAGCTCCTCTCTCCTGCCCTTCCCAATGTCATTACCCCCAGCACTAAGACAGATAATGGGCTTGTTCCCATTACCTGCCATAATATTATCCAACCTGCTGACTATGTCACCAGCTCCAGGAAGACACTCTCTGTCTGACCTTTCTGTCTCTGTTACAAAATGCACGGTCCATATATCTTACCTGAGAATCGCCTACTATTAAAATATTCTTACCTTGATTAGCAGGGGAATCAGTGGTACCTTCAACCTCACTAACCACTGAAGTACACTTGTCTTGGAGAACAGAGAATCGATTTCCTACCTTCACATCTTCTCTATTAACTCTCCTCATCTTCCTTCTTTCTGAACTGTGAACCACTTGCCACTTAAAGCATCTGCCACTATCACTACTGGTGACCATTTCCTCCTTACCAGCTAAATCCTTCTCACACTCGCTCCCAAACTCATCTATGCAAAGCTTCAGCCTCCTATTTTCCTCCTGAAGAAGTTGAATCTCCTTCTTCAACACTTGAACCTGAGATTCTAAAACACTACAACAAGCCATGGTGCTTGGTAACAGCCCACGCTAACTCCCAAGAGCTTAGGCAGGTATGACCGCAGGCTGATTCCCATCAAGGCAGGGTGGCCCGAAAAAGAAAAACTTTCATCATTCACTCCATCACTGTCTTGCCAGAGGGGTCCTTTACACTACAGTTTATAAAACTGCAATATTAACACCCCTCCTTCAGAGTGCAGACATTGTTTCAAAATGGAGGAGCTTTAGATTTTAAGATAATTTTTTATTACCAGTTCTGTTAGCAAAAAAACAGGATTAGAAACTCATTGTTTCAAGTTTTTTTTAAATCCTGAATATTTTAAGCAGTACCAGAAGAGGTGGTTCAGTAAGAGCTTGAATACCTCCCAATTATGTTTCATTAGTAATAGACAAAGGTTTATGTATATAGGGATTATGTTTATGTAAAAAAGAATCTTTTGAACTTACATTTTCCATTTTTCAGCTCCAACTTGCCGTAAAGAACAGTTTACCGAGTATTATGTGGAAAATGGATGCAGGTCAAGGAGGCCCATCAAAAATGCAATCTGCAGTGGCACTTGTGGCACTCACTGCTGCAAGCCACGCAGAACAAAGCAACGGCAGGTTCGGCTTATTTGTAATGATGGAACATCCTACAAAAAAGAGATTGAAATCATCAGGAAATGTCGTTGCCGCAGACGATGTTACTGAAAAAAAATTTCTGAAAGTCATTTTAGAGATTGAATACTGAGGAGAAAATCAAATAGCCATTACTGAAAACAAGCCTGTGTAATATCAGTAAAAAGATAGAATTATATTATTTGAGCATGTTTAGTGAGAACATTAAAAGTGACAAACAGTAGGTTGGAAAAGTTCCTCAGGAGAGATGTAGTAAGGTTTGTAGGGAGGTATAACTGTAGAATTAAGTTTTAACACCAGGAATTGACAATGATGGTCCTTATTATATGATAAATGTAGGTACTCATAATAACCAATGTATCCCATGTCTATGAGCCAAACCAGTACATGTACATTTCCATTATCTTAATGTATAAGTCAGATAGAAACAGGCTGATTCAGGCAATGGTATCTGCAAGGAGAAATGTCCTCATTAAGTAATAGGTCATTGCTGTTATAAACATGCACTGTGGTGGACCCAATCCTCGCTTAATAAACCTGGATTGAAGGTGTGCAACTTTACATGTATGGCATCAGAATAGTCTGAATCTGTGTGTAACAGTATTTTAAAACAAAGTTTGGAAAGTTGAAAATCTGATTGTATTTGAGGTCAAGCAACTGATATTGAATGGTGAAATTCTGCTTTATTGTAGTTGGTGTAACAGTTCACTTTGACTTTTGGTTGACTGTTCATCAAGCAGAAGCTTCGCATCACAGTTTCTGTACTAGGAGATGGATTCAGTGGCGTAATGCATGTGTAGTTATCTACAATCATGAGATCAGCATAGTAGATATACATCTATCTCCCCCCCCCACCCCCCGACTACTTACCTCATAAGCCGTTGTGTTAATTATCCGTTGCAGCATGCAATGTGTGTCATATATCAAAATATGTGTAATGTTTACATAGTTAATGTAAGTCATGGAATTTACTGGTAATTTCATTTGAAATTTCTCAAAAAATTAAACTATTAAGTGTTGAGACAAGATATTCATAAACTATTATTATTAAGTTTCAAGATGTACATAGTGATCAAATTTAGTTTAGATAGAATAATTTTATGAATTGTATGATAATTTTATGAAAGGCTTTATTGTAAAGTATGACTGCATTTTTGTTGTATGTAAATCATCATGTCAAAGTCCCTCTCTAGTTTCTGTGTGCTATTAAATTATTTCATATAAACTATCTCATATTTCATAGGAATCTCAAGGCAAATTTTTCTAACCCATTATAAACCTATAATCATTTATATTTTGTACAGAAGATATGACGTATCATAGTGCTGACATAGTTCAGAACGTTCCCATATGTAGGCTAGTAAAGTAAATATCTAACCAGGGAAGATGAGCAGGAACTGCACATTAATCCCACAGAATGCCAAGCAGTGTACAAGATTAGTCTTGTCAGTGTTTGAACACATTATTTTGAAATGTGCAACATTTCATAAGTAAATTTAATTATTTTTTAACAAATTGTACTTCCTACAGTAATGTGAATTGAATATTAGAAATTATAATTACATGATAAATTATTAATATCCATATAATTTTGAGGAATAAGCACACAATCTCCTTCAAGCTCTCATCCTCTGGTAGGATAGATACAATTGCTTCAGCAACCTTTGTGCCATATCTTATAGCAGGCAGCTAAGGTCAAGCTGGGTCATAAAGTGAGGTAAGCTTTCCTTCAAAGTTCCTACTAGAAATCATGTCATTATATTTTTCAGACTATAAATTATTAGCCAAGTTACGAAGGTAACTTTTGCAAACTACTATATTGTAATGTTTACAGTCAGCTTACCTCAACCATTACTGAACAAATTATGGAATATAAGTATTATGATCTCGCCAGCTATGATGTCCTATTGCTTCCCATTTGTATAAAATGTCTTTAAATGTTACTTAGTTTAAAGAAAGGGCCAAATATATAGGCAAATGACACAGTGGTACCATTTCCTTCATTTTTAGAGTTAACTCAAAAAATGCTCTCTCACATGACTTGACCTCTCTAACTGCATATAGGTGAGTACACTCAAACTAGTCCCAAAGCTAAGAAGCATGAACAGTGAGAAGAGAAAAGAGGAGCTAAACTTGACATGAGGACAGCAGGACCAGGGAAGATTTGACACCAGCATACAGAATACCATAAGAAATTTATATGGTGCACAGGAACAGTGTGTTTAAAGAAGCTAAATGCAGACAAGTCACAAGGATACTATTATTATAATAAAAAAGAAGCACTAAACCACAAGGGCTATACAGCCACAAGGATACTAGAAACTTTCTTCAGCATCAGTATTGTCAAGAAGTGAAGTGACCTGAACACAAGTTTTAGAGAAAAGATCAATATATAGCTTAAAAACTAGAACTGATACGAATCATAAAGCAATGACAGAGTAAACCCAACAGACACACTGAACTGAAACTCAACCCCCTGCTACCACAAATGTCCACACATCAACTCTCTTAAAACACAAATATCACCCTGCTCACACTACACAGTACAAAATATATATCAGATCTTTCATAGAGTGCATAACACCAGTATGGAATCCCACCTGAACAAGTATGTTCATAATCTGAAACCAGAGGTTTGCCATGAGACTATTGGAACTAAAGAGGAATGACCAATGAAAAATGGCTAATTAAACCTTATAACTGGACAAAGCATGCTTACTGTGTATGAGAGGCTCCAAGGGCTTGACAAGTGAAAAACTGGAATGGAGCCATAAATTAAATAGATACAATTTTTCACAGTAATCCTTAGAAATATTTTTTCCTGATCACTTTAGGATAATCACAAAAAGTGACCTGGATGAAGAAATGGACATAAATTATTCATAGCTTTATGATAGTGCCCATGAGGGTAGGAGTGAACTCAGCCAGAGCCAGAATCTAAGACTATAGCAGTTGTAGAATATACCAACAAGTAACACTTTATATTGCGACAGCCAAGTGGAATCATCGAATGCTTTTGAATTAGGATTGGCCCGTAGGCCAACTGCACTGCCATTTCATGTAGCTTTTTGTAATAGCAAAAATTCAGAAATAATGGACTAGTGTTTCCTGGAAAAAAAATCCAGATTTTAATTTGGGAATTGGCTTAAGATAATCAACAATTCCAAACCAGACCTGGTTTTAAAGTATTTCAGAGAAAATTCTATCAAGCTTCATGGGGGAATAAGAAAAGCAAATGGCACCTGGGCCCAATTTTTTTTTTGTTTAAATTGGGATCCCTTACCAGGTCCTTAAGGTTTCACCATTTAAACTTTCCCCTTTCCACTTGTTGAGATTGCTGATTTGGTGCCCTTGTTTTAAACCCTTATTGTTAAAAAAGAAACCCCCTTGGTGCCTATGAGATACCAATGAAGGTTGGAAAACCATTACTTTGGGGGGAAACCCGGGGAATTGAACATTAAAAATATAAAAATTGAAATGTTAAAAAATAAAAACCCCTGTTTTAAATTTAATTAACAGGGGAAAAACCCCTGATAACGCTTTCGGAAAACTCTTATCAAAGCGCAGCAAATAATTTTCCCTAAGAAATAATTTATTTCCGGAAGCACCCAAAAGTTGAAAAAATTTCCAAACAAAAAGAAATTTTAGTAAACCTAAGAAAAGCCCAAAAAATTCAAAAACTATGTTGGGAATTGGGGGAAAATATAAAATGTTAAAAACCCCAAATTTGGTAAAGTATTTTCCGGGGTTTTCCTTCCTTTATTAACACAGAACTTAAGAAGGGGGCAAAAAAGAGCCAAGGGAGGAACCCTCCCGCCTCCATTTTAAAATCCAATATTTCATTGGTGTCCACATTCAACAGTGTTCATATCATTCCCATTTTCCCCTAAACCACTTCCCCAATTTTCCCCTTAATTTTGAAAATGACTGGTTCCCCTGGTGGCCAAAGGGTTCCCCAATAAAAAATTCTTACCTTAAAATTTTTTTTTAAAATTTACACAGAATTTTGGGCCCCCTTAACCAGAAAAGGAAGAAAACACAAATAACGACCAGTGAACTAATTTTATCATTGGTGGAAAAACAAGGACGCGTCCGGACAATTAAAAGGTTAAAAATTTTCATAACGGGGGAAATTTTGGGAAAAAACAAACGTAGCTTTAATTGTTAATTTACTCCATACATCCCATGCAACCCCAACACACACTAAATGATGTAAATTTATTTGCATTTGTATGCATCAATACACATGTACACACACATGCAAACAAACAATACAGCACAGATTCAATATAAAACAAAAACAAAATAGTATAATTGTTTTGAAGTTTGAAGGAATGGATCTGAGGCATTCTTGTTTTTAAACTTTTGTAAATATTAAAGTGTCCCACTGAAGACATTATTTAACCTAGTAATGACTGGTAGAAGTGGGGCATACTCCTGGTAAAAACCCAGATAAAGCAGGTACTACTGTGTCCTCTAGCTGGCTCACTCATTCACATGAACATATACTGTACTGCCCAAAAATACCAAACCTTTACAGCATTTTTTGAAAAGCCCTTTAAATAGTTTTCATACAGCTTTATAACATCAGGGGTTTGCATAATGATTATAAATGGAACTAATTCAGTAGTTAAAAACATTATCTAATACCACCTCTCTGCGATGTACAAAACTCCAGTCTTAATACTGTACTATAAACTTTATTGTGTTTTCCCTTGTTTTTTTTAATCCTAGAATTATTGCACAACAAATGATCAGGGGATTTTATAAATACTAATCAAGGAAATTATAAAACTCCAGCAGTTGCCTTGTGTCCTTTTACTTTACAGTATGAAGACACAAGGAATTAAAATATTAAAAAAAAAAAAAATCTTGGTAATTCCCCGTGTATGCTGGGAGGCATTTTAAACAGTTTGGGCCCCTGACACTTACTGTGTTGTCTCTTATCATCCTAGTGGCTCCCCTACTTTTCACTGGGGGATGTTGCATCATCTGGTAAATCTTTTGCTTTCATAGGGAGTGATTTTCATGTGCAACTCTGGTACTAATCCTTCTAGGATTTCTAAGTGTAATAAACATGTATCTCTCCTGCCTGCAATCTAGGGAATACAGGTGAGGAACTTCAAGCATTCCCAGTAATTGAGGTGTTTTATCACAGTTTATGGGGTGGCCGTAATTTCTGTAACCATTTTTTTTAGGTGCCAACATTCAGCAAATGGGCCTTGAAAGGTTGCTTTTTAAGGTTTTCAACCAACATTCCAGAAATAATTTGAAAAGTTTGGTTTTTTGAAGAGGTCCCATAATGGGTTTTTTTCATCCCTATTTTTGGGAAGGTTTTATTTTCCATTGTTTTAAATTTTCCTCAGTTTTCCAATTAAATTCAATTTTTTTTGGCCCCTTTAAGATGATCTTGATTTTTCCCCCAGGCCCTTTTCATAGTTTTTGGGGTTTTTTTGTTGAAATTGGTTCATACCAAAAGGAAAAGGTTTTAATTTCTATGGTTTTCCCAAATATTGGGGAACTTAAAAAATTTTTCCCCCACATAAAAGAAGGTGTTCCGCGACTTTCGGTCCAATGGAAAAGAAAAAGTCACAAATTGGGTTTGCCCAAATTTCCTGCCAAAGGGAAGTTGCAGGGTGCGGGTTAATTGTGTATGAGGATAAGGAACGGGAGGGAGCGAGTACTGTGCCTTGTGGAACAGAGCTTTTCACAGTAGCTGCCTCAGACTTTATTCTATTTGCTACTACTCTTTGTTTCTATTTGTTGGGAAAATTTAAATAGATACCATCTACCAACTTTTCCTGTATTCCTTTATCACACATTTTGTGCGCTATTACACCAGGGGCACTTTTTGAAAAGG